GGACACATAGTCAGGCTTTTCCTCTCCAAGGATCACTCAGACTTGGCTTTGTCAACCACCCAGCCGTATTCCTTGAGTTCTGATGCTGCCTGTTGGACTCCTCGAATGTTCCAGGACATTTTGCTTTTGTTTATTTGGTGTGTTGTGCCCCACCTTCCCCCCATCAAAGACAGGGTTTCTCAGTCTTACAGCCCTGGCTGTCCTCGAACTCACTCTGTAGACCAGGCTGACCTCAAACTCAGAGATCCACTTCCTCTGCCTCCTGAGTGCTGGGATCAAAGGCGTGTGTCACCACTGCCCGGCAAGAAGAGGCTATTTAAAAAAGAAAATGTTTATTGAATGAAGAGATAGCTGAATGAATGGTAAGTGACTGAATTCCCACACCTGAGAAACTTGTTTTTGGCTCAATACACAATGGTTTTAATCTGGGTGTGGTGTATCATATCAGTAATCCAAGCGCTCAAGAGGCTGAGCCAGAGAGATCACTCATGGTTATGATGCTAGCTTGAATGACATTCCAAGCCAACCTCTGTTATAGAATGGAGCCCTGTCTGAAAAACAACAACAACAAACAAACAAAACAAAACTAAACAAACAGCGGGGTTGGGGGCACAAGTCAGTCAGTATAATGCTTGCCTTATAATTAGGAGAACTTGAGTCTAGCCCTGAAGCCTGGTAAAAAAGTTGGGCTTGTAATCCTAGTGATGAAGAGGCAGAGTCAGGAGGATCCTATGGCTGCTGCCTGGTTGGTTAGTCTCACCTAGATGTACATTACTAATTTCGTCTTTTGAAGTAGGTTTCCAATCCCATCGCAAAGCAGTTGGTTATCCCCCAAACCTTCATGCCATGATTTTATCCGGGTGTACATCTTACCAGCAGGTGCCTGCAGCTTACAGTGCTGGTTAAGATCACTGATGTCTTTGCTCTCCAGGTAGCTTGCATAGCACTTTCTGACACTGTGAAAACTAGCAGCCATCAAAGGAGGAAGTTTTCAGATCAACTGCAGCTCTGTGGTCCGCAACCAAACTGTGTCAGTGTGTTTCGTCTTCACCCATGGGGTCTTGCCATACAGCTATGATTGGTCATAAAGAGCAATTGTACGAACCTGTGCTGTTTGGTGGGGGAGTCTGGAATCTTCCTGACCAATCAATACCACATAGAGAGCTATCCCATGTCTGGCACTGAGATTTTTGTTTATTGACCCATATCTTGTGGTGGAAATGTTCTCTAACCATGCCAGTCTAGCTTAATTGGCTAGCTCCAGGCCAATCAATGATAGACCTTGTCTACCTGAGGCTGTCCTCTGAATCACACACATCCACACACCCTTGAGCATATGTACATAAGACAATGAAGCAACAAAAAAAAAAAAGTGGGCTTCATTTTCAGGATGCAAGTGTGTTCTGAAAGCCATGTGAATATTTTTCTAGCACTGATGTCTAAGCGTTTTAAGAAATCACGTAAACATCATACAAGCCTTGCTCAGCCACAGTATCATTACTCGTGTCTTATCTCTGTCCTCAGATGGAGAACACGGTGGGAGGGGAATTATCCTTCATGAATCCCTCCACAGGCTCAACTATACGGTCCAGACAGTAGATGCTCGAAGAATGAGAAAACAGTCCCTGGCAGTTTGGACTTTTTAGAGAATCCCTCTTTGAAGATTCTTGTCACACTGTCCTCTTCCGGTTGTAGCTTCTATTGTAGGCATGCTGGGACAGATCACGAAGGGTTCCTATTTTGTCCTGAGCAGAGCCTTCAAGACAGATAGATGGGATAGTGGGGCCCCAAACAGATGATGTTTTCTTTTTCTGTATGACCTAATTAAACTGTTATGCCCCCACGGTCTCCCGAGGTCCCAGCTGAGAATGATTTTTCCAAAGCCTCTAATCTCTTAAATTGCCTGTGCGTCAAAATAGTTCCCTATGGCCATTATTGGCAACACCTTGAAATAACTGAATTATACTACGGAGGAAACCAGTTTCTAAGGAAAAGCTGTTGCCTCAGGATGTAGACCAAAGCAGCCCTTCATCTCGGAGAAACGGAATCTTTTCTGCTTTTTGAGGCAGCAGGGGGTTGAAATCTAATAAAAGCGTGTCTCCCATGGGTTTTTTACATCATTATCACCCTGGCTTCACACTTCGATGTAGCAAATAACTTATTTTAAAATTTTCTCCAGGGAGATGACAAGAAGCCAAAAATATCTTGGAAGAAAGCTTGCCTTAGCAACCTCATTGGGCAGTTTCATATATTGTTAAAGTGTAACTCCAGGAAGCAAAGTCTTTGAGACTGTTTTACTTTCTGAACCATCTTCAATACTCAGCAAGGAGGGGAAAGGGTATTTAAGTAGTGTCTTGTAGTTTTCATGGGCATTCTATAAAGACTGCTACTGTAATTGTTCACTTAGCTCAGACTGGACTTTGGGTTGTTCTTCCATGAACTGAAGCTTCAGTATAATCCCACATAGCAATTGGTATTATAGAGCCCTTTTTACTAATGCAAACAGGTTTAAGGAAGTTAAATAATTTACAAACAGCTAAATAGTAAATGGCTAAAGTCAGATCAGTCTGATTCTAGGACCCACGGACCTACTTTGCTTTAAGGATCTTAAATGTGAATAAGAGAATCTGTTCGGGGCCAGAAAAGATGACTCGGTGGTTAAGAGCACTAACTGATCTTGTAGAAGATCCAGGTTCGATTCCTGGCAGCTCAAAACTTGGAGGATCTGATGCCCTATTCTGATTTATGGGCTCTGTGGGCATTGGGCCCCTGTGATGCAGACAAAGGACCAAGTGAAAAGAAAAGAAACCCTTTTCTATACACAAGTTCCCCTAGGTCCCTAACCATCGTGTACTGTCCTCTATCTATTGCTCATTGATTTGCCTAGTTTGGCTGCTGGAATTACAGGCACGCACTACCATATCCGATGATTCTAGGAGTAAACCCAGGACTTAATGCATGCTGGGGGATTCTACCAACTGAGCTACATCCCCTTATTCCTTTTTCTTTTTTAACTGTGATAACTTACTCTCACTTGGTTTACATCATCAAAATTTATGATGTTGGTCTTTCTTTCTTGTTTTTATATCCAGTCCAAAAAAAAAAAAAAAAAAAAAAAAAAAAAAGACACATCGCTTTGCCAGACTTAAAATGAACCCAGGATGTTGGAGATACAGCCCAGTTAGTACAATGTTTGTCAGATATACATGAGTCTCTGGGTTTGGCCTACAGCACTACATATGCCAGGTTTATGTACAGTATTTTGTTATATATGACAGAATTCTTCACAGTTTATTATTTATATCTCTGTGTGTGTTTGAATACACTGCCCACCACATATATAGAGACCATTTAAAAAAATTACACCTTATATTTATTTACTTATTTAATGGGAGGGAGGGATGGCAGAATTGTGGAACTCAGAGGAAAATTTGCAGGAGTTGGTTCTTTCCTTCCACAATGCGGGTCCCCAGAGATGGAACTTAGGTTTTCAGGCTTGGGAGCAAGTGCAGTTATTTGCTGAGCTCTTATTGGCCTGAGGTAGAATTTTTCTTTTTTAAGATTGTTCAAAGTCTGGGTATGGTGCCACGTGCCTTTAATCCCAGTAATCTGGTGGAGGCAGAGAAAAGTGGATTTCTGTGACTTTGAGGCTAGGCTCACAGTGAGATCTAGCACAGTCAGAGCTACGCACTACAGAGACCTTATCTTTTTTTTTTTAAGAGTTATTATTTAATCCTTATGTGTCTGAGTGTTTTGCCTGCCTGTATATATGTGCCCTGTGTGCATTCCTGTTTCCCATAGAACCCAGAAGAGGGTGCTGAATCCTATAAAACTAGAGGGTTTTGTGCAGTCATGTGGATGCTGGGAACTGAATCCAGGACCTCTCTGCAAGAATACTCAATCCTCTTAACTGCTGAGCCATCTCTTCAGTCCACAACAGAACTCTTTAGTGCTAGTTGGCACTCTTGTTCTTCAGTGGTTTAAAAAGTGAAGCATTCATCAAACAGCAAGCTGCTCTCCTTAGAAAATATGTAACTTGTATGATTTATATATATGTAGATATATATAAATCAAATATATATGTGTATATATATATATATATATATATATTTTTAATTGTATAACTTCTTCCCTCCTGGGGGGGGGTGGTGGGAAGAAAAGGAGACTATGGGTCTGTAGGACTTCAGTCGGTGTCTACAAGTCAGTAAAGTCTGAACAAGGTCCGGGGATATAGCTCAATTGATAGAGCATTTGCCTGGCATGCACAGAGTCCTGGGTTCCATCTTCATTGCATAATCCAAGCCTGGTGCTTCATGCCTATGATTAGTATACTTGGAAGGTGGAGGCAGGAGGATCAGATATTCCAGTTCATCCTGCTCACCACAGTGAGTTTCAGGCTGGCTTGGGAACCATGTCTCAACCACGAAACAGAAAAGTTTGAATGGAAACAAACTCAAAGTACTTTAGGTCTTTAAATGCAATTTTGACCACACGTGTCTAGGGTCTTTGCCACATAGGACTGCATGTGTCCCTGGATATCTATGACTGTGGCTAAATACATTTGTAGATGACAACGTCATGAGGTTCAACGGCTCGTCTTGAGTCTACAGAACACTTTCATTATTTTTTTAATTCTTTTAAAAATATTTCTTAATGTGTGCATCTGTCAGAATGTAAGCCTGTATACCATGGGCATGCTTCCCGCCAGTGGAGGCCAGAAGAGGGCATATGATCGGTTGCGACGTGTCTTGTGGGTGCTGGAAACCGAACCCAGGTCCCCTGGAAGAGCAGCGAGTAGTCTTCACCGCAGCCACTACAGGGTTTCACAAAATATTATTGAGCAACCTAGAGGGAAAGAGAAGTTCGTCTCAACCTTCCTGCCTGCACAAAAAAACCACCGCGGCCTCCGTGGGCGGGCCTGGACCGAGGCCCCGCCCACTCCGCCGCCGAGGCCCCGCCCACGGCCACGCGGCGTCCGCCTCCGCGCTCCCTCCTTCCCGGCAGCCTTCGCGCGCGGCCTGGCGCTCCGCTCCGCGAGATGGCGGCGGACAGTGAGGTGAGTGCCGCTCCCGGGGTCCGTGCGTGTGTGTGTGTGTGCGTGTGTGTGTGTGTGTGCGTGTGTGTGTCGCAGGGCTCCCGCGCCTTTAATGTCTGCGCCCCTCTGTGTCCCCGCAGCCCGAGTCCGAGGTGTTTGAGATCACGGACTTCACCACGGCTTCGGAGTGGGAGAGGTGAGTAGCGCTGCTCCCGAGGGAGACGCCCACGGCCCGCGTCCCTCCCGGCCGCCCGGGTCAGACGGGCCGTCCCGACTCCGCCGCTTCTCAGCGGTGGTTTTTTTCCCTCCCGAGTTTGCTGGAAGAGGCTTCCCCTCGGTGGCTGTTCACCTGCCCTCCTCCTCCCGCCATCTCCATCCTGTCCTCCGGGATAATTTACGTGCACCTTTGAAAACTGTTCATTCCTTCCCTTTCCGCCGTCCCCCCCCCCCCTTCCCCCTCCATGAACAGGATGTCTCCATACGTCTTTGCAATCTTCTTCTGCTTCACGTCGTTAGGTTTTAAAGTTGCGTTATGGGCCCAGGGCTTCCTGAGCTCGTCAAACTCAGGTGAGCAGCTGTCCCCGGTGAGATTGCTCCGTCACCGAAGTTAGTTGAAAGCTAAAGTCTGTGGACTTGATGGCTTAGACTGTGATTTTTCCTGCTCGTTGGCGCAGAAACCCTTTAGGTGTGGGTTTTGGGGTCATTTTGTTGTTGCAGTATTTGTAGGCTTAACAAGTTTGTGCCTCTCATGTCAAATGGTGGCAGAGGAAAAAAAAAAAAAAACATAAAAGATCCTTGATGGAATAGTACTTTGACCTATGTGTCCATCCCCACACTTTAGGAGCAAGCCTTCCGTGCCCTGAGATATCCTAAAGATGGGGAAATCTATACCTTTAAAAAAAGCCCAACAAATAGTTAAAATGTGAGTTGGTACTAACTACAAAGATCGAGTTAGATAGGGTAATATGGACTACGAAATTGTTGAAGAAATTTTTGTAGGGAGAAGACAGGAGATCCCCTGCTTTGAAAAGAAGGGAACTAGAAGCTGGGTGAGGTGGCTCTTGGCTACTGGGAAGGCTGAGTTGGAAGGATCAGTTGAGCTAAGGAAAGTTAAGATCATCCTGAGCGATCTAACAGATCTTATCTAAAGGAAAAAGATGGAAAATGGTTAGCGGTTTGGTTAGACAGAGAAAGGACTGGCATTGTTAGACATGTAAGTTGAGGAGCTATCACTGGGAAATAAATAAAAATAAGGAAGTGAGGATCTAGAATTTGCTGGTCTCTACTCTGAGCATTTCCCACTAATGTAGCTTTTAGGTCATATCCCCAGATTTTCCTTTTCTGGTCCCAGGTAATACAAATGCTGCTTAATAAAGCGGTAAGAGATTTTAGCCAGATGGTACAAGGATTGTTTGATTTAGTTGTTACACTGTGGTATAGTGAAGTAAGTAATTTACCTTGATTCATAAAGTGGAACTGTAATTAGTTGAATAGAAAGATCTAGATTTTGGAAGATGAGCTTAATGGAACTCTGGGGGAAGGCTCAACAGTGAAACTTCCCGTTCTTGCCTAAAAGAATGATGATAAGTATCAGTAACCAGAGTGCAGTTTTGGGCATGTCCACTCTAAGGTTGATATTTTGAATGTAGTAGAAAAATATCATTTGATTTTGGCGGATGAGTGATAGGAAACATCAGTGGCCACTTTTTAGAATGGAAAAATGATAGTTTTCCCCTGGTTAAATAACAGAATTTCCTGAGGGGGGCTGGAGAGATGGCTCAGCGGTTAAGGGCACTGGCTGATCTTCCAGAGGACCCAGGTGTAGGGAATAGGGTTTTTACTCCTGCGGCTGGTCTGGTCCTGCCGCCTCTACGCCAGCCCCAAATAATGCACAGAGACTCTGTATTTGATATTATACTGTTGGCCAGTTACTACTTTCTTATCGGCTAGCTCTGTCTTAATTATTAACCCATATCTGCTGATCTATGTATTTCTTTTACCGGGGAGCCGGCTGGCATACTGCTTTCTCCAGATTCTCCATCTTGGCTTCCCTTACTACTTCCTCTTTCCTCCTTGTCTCCTAGTCCCGCCTATCTTACTTTCCTATTCAACAGTGCTTTATTCATTAACCAGTATGAGAAACATATACAGAATGACATCTCCCATCACCCAGGTTGAATTCTAAGCACCCACATTGACGTTCCCAACCATTTGTAACTTGCTTCAGAGGATTTGACACACTCTTTTGGCCTCCATGGGTACCAGACACACATGTAGTGCACAGACATACATGCAGGCAAAACATCCACATACATGTAAGTAAATTAATTTAATGGGGCTGGAGAGATAGTTCAGCAGTTAAGAGCACTGGCTGCTTTCTCAGGACCCAGGTTCAAATCCCAGCACCCACATGACAGCTGCAAACTGACTGTAACTCCAGTTCCAGGTGATCCAACGCCTTTACATAGACATACCTGCAAGCAATCACCGATTCTTTTAAAAAAACAAAACAAACAAAAACTCTTCTGCGGCCTCTGTGTTGGGTAGAGGTTGAGGCGCAGGTGCATTCAATATTAGGACTCGCCCACAATCCACAGGAGGAAGGCATTGCTGCGTGAGGTGCAAGGGATGCCAGTACTACCTTACAAGAGGTTCTGAAGAGCATCCCCATCTGTGATGGCCGAGCATGGCATGGTATTCACAAAACTGCTAAAGCCTTTGACAAGTGCCAAGCCCATCTTTGTGTGCTTGTGTGCTGTTGTGATGAGCCTTTGTTTGTCAGGTTGGCGAAGGCATTTTGTGCTGAACATCAAATCAACCTAATGAAGATTGATGACAAGAAACTAGGGGAATGGGCCAGTCTTTGCGAAATCGATTGAGAGGGGAAACCTCATAAAGTGGTTAGTTGCAGGTGTGTAATGGTTAAGGGCTACGGCAAAGAATCCCAGGCCAAAGATGTCAACTGCAAAAAATGAATAAAACAAATTTTGGCTCAAAAAGAATTTCCTGAGGGGGATATTAAATTCTTTGGTTGCTCATGTGGAAATAATTTGTTAGCACAGTTAGGAGGGCTGTCACAAAGTAGGAAATTAAGCTTTTGCCTTTTAAGTTTCTCTTGGTAGAGTAAAAACCAGTATTTTATAATTCATGAGGCAACGGTGGAGATTTTGAAGGGTTTTTGTTTAGTTTTGTTTTTGACACAGGATTTCTCTCTAGCCCCGGCTGTCCTGGAACTTGCTCTGTAGACCAGGCTGGCCTCTAACTCAGAGGTCCATTTGCCTCTACCTCCTGAATGCTGGGATTAAAGACATGCACCACCACTGCCCAGCCAAACTTTGAAGTTTCTTAAGCCTTGATTTTAATATTTGGCTAAAAAGTTCTTTTCAGTGTTGAATGAAAATGGAGATATGACCACTCCTAGGTATGGTTGAGGAGAAGGCTTCTTGTAGATTTGAAGGAGAGAACAGTGAGAGGCATCTGGAAGAGTCCAGACTAAACTAGCCATGAGAAGAGGAGAAGAGAACCAAGAGGCCAAGAGAATGTGTAGCTAAAATGAAAAGAGAAACTGGAAGAAGGGAAGAGAAGCTCCTGATGGAGATGTTTAGGTTAGGGAGAGAGATATGCCCTGTGACAGGTACTTGTGTGTGAGTAGGGACTAGAAGAAGCCTAGAGGTACCACAAGCAGAGTTTACTGGAAGAGCCATATGTCCCTTTTGCCAGAGACAAGGAGATGACTCCTTTTAACAGGTAGGAACCATCTTAAGTCCCTGAGGGAATGCTGGCTTTTATCTAAATGCCAGAATGGCAAAAAGAATTTCTTGAGACCTAACACGTATGTTATTGAATGGATAAATAAATAAATAAGTAAATAAATAAATACAAATAAAAATAAGAGGATGGGACTGCTCCAAGGCATGGTGGAGGCAAAAGTTTATTGTACGTATGTGGGAGAGCATGGCCAGAGGCAGGGACATCTAGGAGAGCCCAGAGTGGTCATGACGACTGAACTGGGCCATGTGAGGAGAGGCAGAGGGGAGAGAGGGGAACCTGGTGCAGTAGCCAGGAGGCCAGAGAGAGCAGATAAAAAAGATCAGGTAATCAAAATGGTTGATTATATAGGGAAGGGCAGCCCAGCCCCTGGCTAGACACGTGCAGGCTAGGGAGCAAGGTATGCCAGACAGGAGGGCCATGTAACAGGAGGGATGCTGGGAGAGCCTGTTGGTCAGTGTCCACTTTGATTTTTAAGCAGGCACTTCGGCCTTTTGTCCCAGGTTTGAAATCTAATGTTATGTACTGTGCAGATATTGAGAAAACCTAGTAGAAACCTGAAATTATATTTTTTCAGTTGAAAAAAATATTTACTGAATGTCCATGTATAAGATACCATGTAAGATTTTGGGGGATTTAGTAGCTAGTAAAAACAGATAAAGGCTTAGCATGCTTATTGCTCTGGCTGGGTTCAAGCCCCAATACTGCAGTAAATAAGCAAAAAACAAAACAAGACCAAAAAAAAAAACCCAAAAAAACAAACAAACAAACAAACAAAAAAAAACAAAACAAAACACACACACCAAAAACCAAGAAAGAAAAGAAAAACTAAGGTTCCTGCTCTTATTGAAAGTATAGTCTAACAGAAGAAATGGACATGAGTCAGATAATATGACAGTCTGTAATTATAAGTTGACCTGAAAGCTATGAAGGGAAACAGAAAGAAAACCCATTTTTCCAAAAGACCCTAATATAGGAGAAGGGGATAAGTGACTCAACAGCTAACTTACAGAGAATTGTTTAAAAAGTTACCAAATTTTTCTAGTCAGATCTCAATATTTGTAGGGTATAATTGCCTCATAGCAAGCACTGCTAAAGCTACTAAGCAAAAATATTTTAAGATAGTTCTTTTACTCAAAATTGTATTTTAAATTATTTTTATTATAGCAATGATACCTTGTAGTAAAATAAAAAAATACCTTTGAACCTTCCACTGAAGATAGTCATTAGATTTTTGACATTTTGCACATGTGTAAACTTTTTAGATTGCACTATATCAATGAGGGTTTTTATTTCTTTTTTTTTTTCTCCTTCATTTAACATGGACATTTTTCTTATTTCTTCAAGTGTTCTTCAGAATAATTTTTAATAGGTACATATTAGTCTAGTGAGTGGATGTGTCATTAACTTATGATTGTTGGCTGCAATTGCACATTAAAGTCCTCCCATTTTTTGCTTTCATAAAAAGTGCAGTGTAGTTAGTGCTCTCTCTGCAGTTAGGGGTTGCTTGGGATGGAACTCAGAACACCACTGCACTATATTCCTAGACCCCTGCAGTGGCTCCCCATTGGGTATAGTTTTTTTTATTTATTTTGTAAATGTGAACTTATTTCTGTTTCATTCATTTTCAAATTTAGTAATTGTCATTTGTATGAACTCCCCTAAAGTGGATTCATACATGAATAATTATTGTTTTAATTTTAAGGAGTTAGTCAAATCACAAGCTGATTTATTACTTGATGTCATTGTTGTCTTAAAAGAAATGTGCTAACTCATACTGCTATAGAGGGATAATCTGATACCTTTAAAAACATTTAACTTTAATTACTCTAGAAGCACTTTCTAGGTGTTTTAGGTACCAGTGCTGCTGCTAGATTGCATCATATTTCTCTCAGTATAAGCAGCTTGTCAATTTTCATTTACTGATGTTGAGCTAATTTGATGCTGATCAAATGTAGTCAGCTTTTAAATATTTACTTATTATTTTTATTGTAGGTAAAAATGTTGTGATTGCATGCATGTATGTATCTGTTATCCTCAGGCCAGAAGAAGGCATTCGATCTTCTATAACTAGGGTTACAGGTAGTGTGAGCCTCTGTGTGGGTGCTGGGAATGGAAATTTTGAAGGTAGAGAGAAGTGATCAGTTGTATAATTACCTTTAATAAGTATTATTTTAATGTCAGTCTTTACTTCTAAATTTATTGTATCACATTAATGGAGGATTGTTCACCTGTCACTTGGAAGGCTGAAGGCATTTTGAGTTCGAGACCAGCCTGATCTACAGAGCTGGTTCCAAGACAGAGAGAAACCCTGTCTTGGAAAACAACAAAAAAAAAAAAAAAAAAAAAAAAAAAAAAAGAGGATTCTTAATTTATACTTTGTGGAAAGAAGGCTTTTATTGAGTGAATAGATTAAAATGAATCAAAATTAAGAATTTTTAAACTAAACAACTTTTTCCTCTTTTGTTCTATATCTCTAAGTTAGGATCATAGTATTAAACTTGTTGAGCATTCTCTTATCATCTCTAATGTTTGGATGTGAGGAAATATCTTTTTAAAGAAATTGTATAATAATAGGAAAAAATGTTGATGTATTTAGAAGGTTTTTCCTTCTTCTTAGGTTTATTTCCAAAGTTGAAGAAATCTTGAATGACTGGAAACTGATTGGAAACACTCTGGGAAAGCCACTTGAAAAGGTCAGATCTGTTTGCTTGTCTCTCTAGATTGGGGTTAACTTTGAAATCCTATTTTTATGCCCTTTGCTATACATGATGCAATCAAATTAAATGTTTAATTTTTAAATTATATATAGTCTTTATGAACATCAAATAGCTGACGAATTCGCATTTGGATTTGAATTTATAGCAATTATATATGTGAGACATTTGTGAAAACTACCTATTGATTGATTTGGTGTTTTTGAGACAAGGTCTTAACTATGTAGCTCTGGTGGTTCTAGAACTCACTCTGTAGACCAGGCTGACCTTGAACTCAGAGATCTGTCTGCCTCTGCCTCCCCAGTGCCAGGATTGTCATCAGGGCTTTCTTGTGAAATATTTTTAAAATCAAAATTTTACATATGATGAATTTCTTTGTGTGGTTTTATTAATTTCTTCTGAGTTTACTTTTCTCAAAATCAAAGTTTTCTTTTGCCAGTAAGTAGTTTTTCAAAGTTTTTAATTGATCAGAGTGAAATTGGACTTAACCAGTAGTTCATTAATGAGAAAACATTGTAGTATAACAACTCATGATGTAATTATCAGCTGCAGTTATTTTGCTGTTCATGTTGATATTGTGTTAATAAACCAAACTCTAGATGTTTCCTCAACAGAATATTCTAAGAACAGACTTCTCGATTTACTGAAGGTTTATAATTTGGTCATAAGCTTATGTAGATGCTTAGTTAATCTTTTTTAAAAAAATTATATTTGTATGTAGGCGTTGGTTCTATCCTCCTACCAAGTAGGTTCAAAGTAGGTCATTGGGTTTGGTGGCAAGTGTTTTTGCATGTTGAGTCATCTTGCTGTCCCTAATCCTTTTAAATAAAATTGATTGTTGTTTTTATTGCTATCATGAAAAGACCTCTCAATTTCAATATTTGCTAGGGAATTCAACTTCATGGTAGTGATAAAAGAATTTAGACAGTAAGATTTTTTTTCTTGTATGAATTTGATCAAAAAAGCAACTGCCTATAGAAATCACAGTATTTAAAGATATGTTCGAATGTACAGAGTAAATTGTTGTCCTATGTGAAGACATTTTCATTTAAGTTTTTGAATAAAGAAAAAACATGAAGTTCTCAGATCTTTCTGTTTCACTTGAAACACATACAGTTTTTGTAGATTGCATCAGGATTAAAGGCACCATGGGCTGGATGTATCTGAGAGGCAAAAAGATTTGTACTTTTAAAATGAGCTATCTCAGCTATTTGTGAGATCTGATACTGCATTCTTGACTCCTTCGATTTATGTATTTACTAAGTACTCGGTATGTATCAGGATTAGTGATAGAAATAGTGGAAAAGTTAGATCCATGCTGCCATCGAGGTTAATTCTCTTGAAAGAAAGAAGTAATGAATTAAGATTGATACTAGGTGCTAGGATTTAAGTCATTAGTAGGTTTGTAGTAGGCTCATACTTTAGCAGTATAGTTGAGGTTGAAGAGGTGTTAGCTCTGGCCCATTTCTCTCTCTTAGTGCATCAATAGGTGGAGAAAACAGATTTTAAGATGAGCTGCAATTGGTAGGATTAAGGAAAGTATAAATGAAAGGGATTTTTTGGTATAGAAAAGAAAGTTTAGGCCAGGCAGTGGTGGCACGAGACTTGGGAGGCAGAGGCAGGTGGATCTCTATAAGTTCAGGACAGCCAAGGCTGCACAGAGAAACTGTCTTGAAAAACAAAACAAAACAAACACACAAAAATGAAAGTTTAGATAATGCCTAAGTTTTCATACATGTAAAGGGCAGTGATTACCAGTTCTCATCTACTGAGAGGGAATTTAAAATAAACCACTGTTTTAAAATATAATTATGGGGACTGGAGAGATGGCTCAGCAGTTAGGCACCAGAGTTTGAGCCCCACATTCATGATGGGCTACTGACAACTGTTTATCTCCATCCTTTTCTGTTTTCTGTGGGCACCTTCACTCACATGTGCACATCCCCATCCCATAAAAACTTATAGGCAATTTCAAAAGTAAATTTATAAGATAGTATAATGAACTCCCATGTGCCTATCATCCAGTTTCAACAATTAAATCTTTTCCATTTCTTGTTCAGTCATATTGTCTACTTCCTTGACTGCTTATTAGATTTTAAAAATAGACTCCCCCCTCCCAGAGGCAGATTTTGCTATGTAGTTCAGGCTATCCCCAAACTCTAGCTTGATCATCCTCAGCTTAGATGTGGAGACTGAAGGATTGCTTGTGTTCACCAATTTTACCCTGACAACATATTAAAAAAACAAAAAGATAAAACCCAAATCATATATGTCTCTCTCTCTCTCTCTCTCTCTCTCTCTCTCTCTCTGTGTGTGTGTGTGTGTATGTGTATGTGTGTGTGTATGTATGTATGTATGTATGTATATTTTTCTTTTTCAGCCTAAAAATGTTTGCTAAACACAGGCTACATAATGTGATCTTGCCTTTAAGAAATGTAAAATAAATAAAAATTTGCTGGACGGTGGAGGCACACAACTTTAATCTCAGCACTTTGGAGTTTGGAGGCAGAGGCAGGTGGATCTCTAAGTTCAAAGCTGGCCTGGTTTACAGCGAGTTCCAGGACAGCCAGGGATACACAGAGAAACCCTGTCTCGAAAATATTAAAAATAGATAGATAGATAGATAGATAGATAGATATATTTACGCGAAGTTGGGGGAAAATTAAAGAAATGGCCTTTGAAATTCTTTTAGCTTTGAATTTTATGATTCTATGTAGCTGGCAAAGGTTGCAAATGCTTTTTATGAAAAGTTAAATTTAGATATGTCGTGATCCTGATAATAGGTCAACTCATACCCCTTTGAAAAATTAATGAAAGAAGAATCATTAACTTTGGAATATTAATAGAAGACTAATGACCTCTGCGGCATTGGGATGAGTTTGGATTTTTCATACTCACTCAGCAGACTGGAGTGAAACTGACTTCCATAAGAGTTCATATGGCAAATGTACAACGAATTTAACTGTAATTTTCCTCTAGCTTTTCTGTAGGTCAAATTTAGAACAGATACCAACTATAAATATCTGGGATTCCTTTAAGAGATTAGATGAGGGTCAAATCACTGATAATTCAGTGTCTCTAAAATGAAGTGAAAAATAAAAGCAGCATTGAGCTGCTCATAATTTTTTGGGATGGAATAGAACCATGTAAAATAAGATCTTTTTATTTTTATTTTATTTTATTTTATTTTTTTTGTTTAAGGAGTAGCCATAATGTTGACTGTGTCTTTGGATATCATAGAGGAAAATAGTATTTTATTATATTTCCTACTTTAAAGTTTGAAGTTTGGAGAAGATTTTTGTTATATTTGGCAATGGTTGGTCTTTTTATTTTTGTTGTGTCAATGTCAAGAGAGCTCATTCTAATAATAGTGATGTCTGTGGGCTGAAAAGTCACACTGCTTATGTCAGAGTTCTGGTATTGTTGTTCATCTATTAATGACATTGTGTGCTCCGTCAGCATTAGCTGTTATTACTGCCATTATTTAACATATGCTCAGAGGCTAGAAAATGATACATAAGTAAAAACTACAAAAAAATAGGATATAAGCATATAGGACAACTTAACTCGTTTTTGGCAATAAAACATTATTCATTATTCTTTAAAGAACCTAGTTGTTAAACACTTAGCGCCTAAGGGGCAGGGGTGCCGTTATATAATGAATCAGTATCTGAAAAGTTTAAGTTTAATTAAGATAGATGAGAGGTCTCTGTGGACACTTTTAGATGTTTCTTAATATTTTATATTTTTAAAATATTTGCTTATCAATTATAGTATAAATAAATGAGTGATAAGTAAGTTTTCAACGTGAAAGTTGTCAGTATAATTTTTGAAACATAATCTTGTCTGAGACATATGCTACTAAAAGCAATAGAACCATAAACAAAATATTTTTCCATTTTTGAGAATTTAATTACAACATTTCTCCCTTCCCTTTCCTTCCTCAAAACCCTTCCTGCTCTCCTTCAAATTCATGGCCCCTTTCTTCCATTAATAGTTTGTGTGTGTTTGCTTGTGTCTGTATGTGTATACATACACATATATGTATATACATACATATTTCTGGATATAACCTGTTCAGTTTGTATAGTGCTACCTGTAGCATGTTTTCAGGGCTGGCTGCCTGTCACTGAACAACCAACCAGCTGGGAAAGGTCACCTCTCCCATCCTCCACTTTCCTCACTTGCCTGAAGTTCTTTGTGTAGGGTTGAGGCTCGTGGACTTTCATTTCTCCAATTTGACACGTTCATTGGTGTCATTCTTGTTCAGCTCACATTTGGGCAGTCATGTTGGTGAGAGTTTTTGGATGTAGCTTCTGATAGCATTAGGAAACACAATCTTAAAGCAATCCCCTGGCACTTAAGTCTTAACTGCCTTCTATTCTGCAATCTTCCTGAACTGTAAGTGTAAGACTGTTTTGTAGATGTAGCAATTGGGACTGGTATTCATAACTCTGCATTTTGACTGGTTGTGGTTTTTTTTTTTTATAATGTTCTCTGTAATTGCAAAGAGATGTTTCCTTGATGAGGGGTGAAGACTACACTTACCTGTGGTTATAGGGACAAATGTTTATAGATTGTTGTTAGGGATTATGCTGTTTAGTAAATTATTGACTAGATGACTAGATTCTCCTCCAGTAACCATGACTTCTCTAACACTGAGTACTTAGCTAGGTTTCTGGCAGTACCAGACATGGCCTCCTTGTTGAGAGGGTCTTAAATCCAATTAGAGAGCAATTGTTACTGCCAAGGCATGTGTGCACCTGTAGGGATATTGTGCTTTTCTGGTCATTGTTGTGTGGTTGGTCATAAGCATCATATATGGGTTTGACTGTGGTTGCCTTCGTCTGGAAGCTTACATGTCAGCCTTTGGTACCATGAAAACAGGACATGGAGAGGAGGCCTTCAGGTCAGTTGCAGCACAATGAGTCTCTGGAATTAGCTCTTGTAGATCAGGCTGGTCTCAATTCACAGAGATCTGCCTGCCTCTACCTCCCAAGTGCTAGGATTAAAAGTGTGTGCTACCACTGTCTGGCATCTTTCTTAATTCTTAAGAAATGTCTTAGCTACTTGTTCACTTCCTTTTGGCACTATTTTATGTAATGAAATTACTCTACAACTTATTGTAAGCAATAGAAATCTTATGTATTAACTATTTATAAACATGCAATTTATATGTGGGTTTGATTACAGAAACTAACATTCTTTATTCAGTTTTATTAAATGATGTCTTGACTTATATTTTCCTTGGCTTGATATAGATTACATTTTGTTATGATAAATGCAAATAGAACTATTTTTTATAAAAAGTTTAAAACTATAATAATTTTGTTGGAACTTTGGCACTTACATTGTTTTCTTTTCAAGACAGGGTTTCTCTGTGTAGTCCTGGCTGTCCTAGAACTCACTCACTTTGTAGACCAGACTGCTTTGAACTCACAGAGATCTTATCTATCTCTGCCTCTGCCTCCAAAGTGCTGGTATTAAAGACATTCACCATCACTACCTTGTGACAGTTACATTTGATTTTACTTTACTTTATTTTATTGTGTTTTGAGATGGTGTTTGACTTTGTAGTTCAGGCTGTCTTAGGGCTCAAAAACCCTGGCTGGTCTTGAACATGTCTTAACTTTTGTTGTTGTCTGTTTATTTTCGGTCTGACATGCAGAAGATGTGAATTTGTTCTTTTAAGATTGTTTTATGTGTGTGAGTGCCTGCATGTATGGCCATGTACCATATACATGACTGGAGCCTCTGCGGCCAAATGAGGTTGATTGGGTCCTCTGAAACTAGAGTTAGAAGCAGTTTTGTGAGCCACTGTGGGTGTTGGGAACTGAACCCAGGTCTTGTGTCAAGGCTGCAAGTGCTCTTAATGGCTTATAGCCATCTCTCTGACCCTGATGTAGAAGGTGTGAACCAGTAACACGTTCATTGCCTGGTATGTTTTTCAGGAAATGTTGATTGTCTTCCCAGAATACATGATTAATCACTTGTTTGTTGTGTGCTGCATAAAGCACACAGTATAAACAGGTTGTATTTAGTTGACTAGTTTTTTTTTTTTTTTTAAACAAATAGGGGATTTTCTGTTTATTCATGATTTCAAACATGACATAAAATTATTTGAAAGTTAGGATTTTTGTAAGTCACTTGATATTTAATGCTCTGGAGCTTTCATTTTTTTAAATCACCCTTATTTACTTATTTATTTGTGTGTGTGTGATTGTGTGTATACATGTGCTCATGTGTGCTTATACCGAGGTATGCAGGTGGAGGGTAGAGGACAACTTGGTCATTTATGCTTTTCCCCCCTTTTTTTTGTGCCTTTATTATGTAGAGGATAACTGTAGACTACAACTTTCCAGTTAATGGGTAGAAAAGGCAGGGGATCATTGTGCATAGTAAACACTATAATGACTTGAATAATTTGGCTGTTTTTCCCATTCTGCTGTTAAATACAGGGTATATTTACTTCTGGCACATGGGAAGAGAGATCAGATGAAATTTCCTTTGCTGACTTCAAGTTTTCAGTTACTCATCACTATCTTGTACAAGAGTCTACTGATAAAGAAGGAAAGGATGAAGAATCAGAGGGTATGTTTTTTGTTTGTTTTGGTCATATTGATACATCTTGACTTTTAAGAGTATCTATAACTCGCCGGTTGTGGTGGCATGCGCCGGTAGGATTTGCTGAAAGAGTATCTATAACTTTTAGTTACTAATTTAAGTTCTCATAACTCAGTACTATCCATAGGAAACTTTTTTTTTTTAAACCACATCTGAAGTTGAGGAGGAAGTTCAGTGACAGTCATTTTAAAATTGGCCGAATCAGCACACATTTATGGAGTAACTGATGTGCTAAGTATTCTAGTAAGTCCTTTTGGATGAAATCTCACATGAGATGTGCATTTCAGTAGGGAAGATACAGTGTTTAACTGTAAAAGGAGGTAGAAAGTGATAAATGATATCACAAGGACAGATGAAATTCCACTGAAGTTTGGGTGGGGGTGACTCTTAGTCAGGGAAGATCAGGTAAGGTTATTTGGAGATTGTGACAAGATGGCCCATGAAGGGTTGAATAAAGGGGATTTGTTGGCTAATAGTACAGTATTTTAGATCTGCTTGTGGGAAGTGCATTACAATTCTGATTGAACTTTCTAGTTACCTTTCCAAACTTGTGTTGTTTGTTTTGTAAAGTAAATACTAAATATCTGGAGGGTTAATGTGAAGATTTTATGAGATACTGTACCTAAGCCCTTATACCAGTATTGGTCTGTGCTCCATGTTTAGTCAATGAAGCTTATATAGTAGGTCATGTAATCTAAAATCTGTTTTGAGATGCACTAGTGTGTCACAGTGAGCAAAGTGTTGAATAAGCACAAATTTCAGCTGTTAATCAAACACAGTAATTCCCTCGGGAACATAATTCAGTGGGTAGAGTGCTTGCTTGAAATCATTCACAGTACCAAGCCTTCTATACAGTATGTTTTACAAATACAGAAATCTGTGACAAAGTATAATTTATAAATTATCATTATAAGAGATTGCCAACAGCAAATAATAAAATAGAACAGTTATAGTGATATTTTATAAATAAAACTTATTTAAAATGAGTTAGTTTTGAAATTTACTATTAAATGTCATTGGACCGTATTTGGTAGGAAACTCCAGAAAGCAAACCAAAACCATAGATAAGATAGAAGAACTTTACCTGTCACAGTCTTTCTGAAAAAGAGAAATTCTGTACAATGTTACTTCTTTTTTTCTTTTTTGGTCAAAGCAGGTTATCAAAGTAGGTTATCGTGTTTGTAAGCGTGGGCTTGAAGTTAGCATGATACCTTTTCTGTTATATGTAGTCCTACAGACAAAGCTATATAACTTACACATTTAGATTTAGAGAGTAATAACATTGACCAAATAGACACATATCTAAGATAATCATGTAGCAAAATAAAACAAACAGAAGATATGTATCTGTTTTGAGAGAAAGAAGAAGGAAATGTGTACATTTTGTGGGGTAATAATCCAAGGGTATTGGAGTCATGCTATATTTACCTAGGAGAAACAGACACTTCAGGTCCATGCTTATAAATGATAACCTGCTTTGACCAAAAGAATGTAACAAACTGTGCCAGTGTTATATTGATAAAGTTTTGTTGATTTTAAGAAAGTCCTTATATTAGAAATAGGCTGCTAGAGTGAGGTGCTTCAGAACAGTGTCTCTGAGATGGCAGATGAAGGGGATTGGAGTAAGAGAAGACAGGTGATGAGGATTTGACAATAAATCTTCAGCAATTGCAAGTCTGTAGTCCAGTATGACAAGCTTTCCTCAAAGCATGTATAAAATTGCTTTAAAGCTTAAATAGACATATTTTTTATTATCAAATGTTTCTGTAGATGCTATTCCACAGTCAATGCAAGATTTGCTGTGTATGAACAATGACTTTCCTCCAAGAGCACATTGCCTAGTAAGATGGTATGTATCCTTTTTATTTAGAGGTAGTGGTGTGTGGGTGGGTGGGGGGGGGGTTGCTTTGAGATAGTGTCTCTTTACATAGCCTTGGTTGTTTTCAAATTCTTATGTAGACAGGCTGTCCTGAAACTCACAGAGATTCTCCTGCCTCTGCTCCCAAATGGTGGGATTAAAGGTGTGTGCCACTATGCTCAGGTAGTGTGTGTGTTAAGGTAACCCCAGACTAACTCTAGTTTCAGTGATGGACTAGGGGACTGAAAGGACCAGCATCTGGCTGTACTTACAGCTGCTTGTTATAGCAGCAGATGCAAAGCATTGTCAGCAGAGGATGAAGAGGGGAATTCAAACCTGCAGACACAAGCTTGGAAGAGCTTTCTATAATGAAGTCCTGTAGGTTATCCTCAGTTTCCTCAGCAACAGATTATGACAACATATGAAACATAGTCTGTCAGGACTTTTTAGGGGCTACCTCCTCAAAGCTTTAAAGGACTTGGTCAGTAGGCATCCTCTGTCTGGATAATGTATACCAAAATTTAGACTCCTAAAAGGACAACATGTATAAAACATGAACCCTGTTATCTGCATAGTCTTTATCAACCTGGGAATGGTGAGAACCCTCTCTAAATCCAGATTCCCAGGTGTTAACCAAGAGCCAACTCGATAGACATCTGTCAGGGCTGCTGTCTTGGGCTTGCTCTGAGCTCTTTTGCACACTGCACTTAATAACCCAGCTTGATACCTACTTTAAGTCCTGATGAACAGCAGAGAACACTTAAATATAGAAGATTTAGTGTGTATTACTGTAAATTTCAAGTAAAGTCAAAACCTATATGTCTAAGTATCTGTAAATGTGATACATCAGTGCAAGAGGCTTTCTTTGAATGCTTTCTTTGATCTTTGTCAGTTACTCATTCAGTCTCTGAGCTTTATGTTGAAGTGGTACAATAAAGAGTAGTATCTCGGGAACATAATTCAGTGGGTAGAGTGCTTGCTTACCATGCATGAGACTCAGCTGGATCCATAGAACCTCATAAACCAGATGTGGCAGTACACACCTGTACTCCTAGTGTTTGAGGGGTGGAAGCAGGAAAGACCCTGTTATAAAGCAGTGTTATATTGCTGGTAGTTACTTGGAGATTTTTTTCTCTTTCAAGTTTCCTAAAAATTAGAAAAACAACAGCTAAGCATTTGAAAATTAAACATAAATGTGCCTGTATTTTCTTTCATTTAAAAAGACATTATTTTAAAATACTTAGATGAGTCAGACATAGTCATATGTGCCTTACATCAGTGTCTTAGTTAGGATTTCTGTTGCTGTGAAGAGACGTCATGACCATGGCAACTCTTATAAAGGAAAACATTTAATTGGGGTGGCTTATGTTTTCAGAGGGTTAGTCCATTATCATCATGATGCAGCATGGTGCTATACAGGCAGGCATGGTGCTGGAGCAGTAGCCTGGTGTCCTGCATCTTGACTTGCAGGCAGCAGGAAGTGAACTGATACACATAAATCAAGTCAGGAAAATGTTTCTCGGAAAAACTGATAATGCACCCTAATCCTGAAGGACACATGAGAGTAAGCCAGGCTGTTTGGTTTGAATATGAAATGCTCCCTATAGCCGTTAGTTAACTGGCATTCCTTCTATAAGCTTTGGTAAACCAGTATTTATTTTCCATCTGTATATTTTATTGCTTTTAGTAGTTCATAAAAGTGGAGGGTTTATCCATTTGTGAGTTACTGGCTAACTATGTTTTCAAGGTTCATTTATGAGCATTCCTTCTATTTTAAGGGTACTTAGTATTCCATTGTATGATATATTACATTGTATTTTATGTTGGCTCATGCTGTTTATAGGGCATCTAGGTTGTTTCCTTATTTGGATGGGTTAAGTGCCTGGTTTTGTTCTTTTTGGTCTATACCCAGAAGTAGGATTGCTAGGATGAGTGGTAATTCATTTTTAATTTTAAAAATTATTATTATTATTATTATTATTATTATTATTATTATTATTATTATTATTATTATTATTATTGAGTTGGACTTTCACTGTGTAGTCCTGGCTGGTCGAGAACTTGCTATATAGACCATACTGGACATGAACTCAGGGATCCTCTTGTCTCTTCTTGCTGAGTGTATATACCATCATGCCTGGATGTTTTTAATATTTTAAAGACTTCCATACTGTTTTGCATTTCCATTCTATTCCCACTATTAAAACCAGAGTTCACTTTTTTCCTCCTTTTCATTTTTGGTAATAGCATACTAATGATTGTGAAATAGGGTCTCTTGATGACTCTGATTCATGTGCCTCCTGCTAACTACTGATGCTCATCATGTTTCCATGTGATTTTTTTTTTTTTTAAACATTTGTGTAACCTTTGGGGACATAATAGCTGTCCAAATCCTTTGTTTATTTAAAAATCCACTTGCTTAGCTGCCTAGGATGGTGAGGCTTTTAATTCTGGCACTGAGGAGGCAGATCTTTGTTAGTTCTAGGCCAGCCAGTGATAGACAGTAAGAAAGACAGGAAAACAAACAAAAAAAAACAGAAAACAAAGTAGTTGTTTGCTTTTGTTGTTGGTAGTTTTTTCCACATGTTCCACCCCCCCCCCTTCTTTCTCCCTCTCCCTCTCTCCCTCCCCCTCTTGGAATGGTTCCAGGTCTTAAATAGAGCTTATAAGGAAATTTAAACCAGTGAATTCTTTTGATAGTTTACCGTTCATAATGATAAGAAAAAGATACTAACATTCAGAGAAGGTTACATGTTTAATGGAGGTTTATCAGTTGAGATTTAAATTACTTAAAATATTCAATGGGGTGTATGTATGTGTGTGTGTAGCGTTTTACATACAAAACAGTGCATATGGGGTAGAAGACATTGAAGAAAAATAAAAGCAGATAACAGTTTATTAAAACAAAGGGTTATTTGGCAACGGATATCAGTGCCAGAAAGGCAGATGCTTGTTCTTGTTACTCAGGAACTTCCATGAATGTACTGTACAAATTAATTTCTAGAATTCACTCCCCATTAAGTTATTTCAACACCAGCAACCTAAGAGTAGGAGACGGTCAGTAGGGATTGGTCCATGAAAGTCAGGAACAGATGGAACATTTCTGGAAGAACAGCTAAGAAACTTGTTTTCTCCCAAGGATAATTCACTCGCGTCCTGGGTTCTTCTACTTATCTGCTGCTGCCCCACATGCTAAAATCTTTGTTTCCTGGGGAGAGGGTGGAGGAGAACTGAGAAGTGAGATAAATCTTGCTCATGAGTCTCTGTGGAAACCCACAAGCTGTCAGTCATAGCAGCATCTAAACAGTGAACAGAGTATGAGCTAAACTTTAAGGAGAATTCTTGAGAAAGTTTGATTAAAACAGGGTTTATAACTACACATGTAGAGGCAAGTGAGTATGAGTAATGTCTTTTATAAATGATCATCTTTATTTAAAAATTATTAAATACTCTTAATACACTTAAGAGTACCGAGGAGATGATTTGTTGTTAGGCAGAAACAATCATGAACTTGGCCTTAAATAACTACTATTTTTTAAAAGTTAGGCAGCAGGGACTGGAGCAGTAAGTAGCTTAGCTCTTAAGAGCTCTGGCTGCTCTTCCAGAAGAATTGGGTTTGGTTCCTAGCACCCACCAATAGGTAGCTCACAACCATCTGTAACTCCAGTTCCAGGGGATCCAACGCCCTCTTCTGACCTGTTTTAGTACCATACATGTATGTAGATAAACATACAGGCAAATCACTCCTACACATTCAGACACAGGCAGCAATTTTGTGGTTTTAAATGACTTGACAACTAAATGAAAGAATGTCATTGTTGTAGTTATAATAGCAAGAGGAAGCTATAGCCTAATAATTTTTATAACCCCTGTCTAATATGTGTTCTTGAATAAAGGCATACAACAAAAATTTGAAGATACTTTATAACTTTCTCATACAGTACATGTATGTTAGGACTGGCAGTTATTTTCCTGCCATTTACATATTCTACATTGTTGTATACAATATCATCAGTTATTTTAGGTGAGGTTTCACTTACTCTTTCATATTATAAACTGAACTTTTGTTTGTGTGTGGCATGTAGTATGTGTGTGAATGAGATTTTGTGTGTGTGTGTGTTTGTGTGTGTGTGTGTGTGTGTGTGTGAGTGAGTGAGTGAGTGTGACTTGTGCCTTGGAGTACTTGTGGATATAATAGGGAAGCCTTGTAGAATTAGCTTTTCCTTTATTTTTATGTGGGTTCTGGGGATTGGACTTATGTTGTCAGGCTTGTGTGACAAGTGTCTTTTTGCTGGCTTGTAAAGTGAATTTTTAAGACAAAATTATTGTTTAGCGGCTACTATAATTTATGACTTCATTTCTAATGAATGGAGGGTGCTGAAGAAGATTAAAGTACTTCTTAAAGGAAACTCAGGGCCTGGGTTTAGATCAGTTACCTAGTGAGCATGAGACCCTGCTTTTGACCCTAAATTTCCAAGGAGAAAAATGAAAAAGAAATTCAGGTGGAGGCCAGGGCAAGAGGGCTAAGCAGTAAAAATGCTTGGAGCGTAAGCCTGACAACCCCAGTTCAATCCCTGGAACCCAATCAAAGGGAACTGACTCTGAAAGTTACCTTTGGCCTTCATGTGTGCACTGTGGCATAGTCATGACCACACACACACACACACACACACACAGAGAGAGAGAGAGAGAGAGAGAGAGAGAGAGATTTTTTTTAAAGAAAGATTCAAGTGTATATTCATCCACTTGCCATGTGTGGTAGGAAAAGGAGGAAGTCAAAAGTCTGGTAGTAGAAATCTATCCTAAATTTCTGTGGGGAAACTTCTCTCTCGTAGGTACGGCCTGCGTGAGTTTGTGGTGATTGCTCCTGCTGCACAGAGTGATGCAGTTCTCAGTGAATCCAAGTGCAACCTCCTCCTCAGCTCCATTTCGATTGCCTTGGGAAACACCGGCTGGTAGGTACACTTCTGACAGATGCTAAAATACTTTTAATGATACGATTCAGAAAGGTAAATGTTAATTGTTACTTTTTTTTTCTATAATGAAGAACTTAGTGCCAGCCCTTGCATATTATTATCCTACAATTTGGTTTGAGAGGTTAGAGCTGTGCATGGTGGAGCAAGTCTTTAATGCCAGCACTCAAGAGGCTGGGGCAAGATCAGAAATGCAAGGCCAGCCTGGACTGCATAGTGAAACCTTGTCTCAAAAGAAAAGTAACAAACCAAAATCCCCAAAAGGAGTATTATTAATTAGTAAAATATTTTTGGAGGTCATTCTGAAAGAAAATGGAATATTGCTTGTATATTTTTTTTCTTATTTTACATATCAATCTTAGTTCCCCCTTCCTCCTTCTTTCCCTCCCACTCATGCCCCCCATCCCATTTCCCCCACACACTCCACAGGGAGGGTGATGCCTTCTAGGAGGGATCAACAAAATCTGTCAAGTCATTTAGAGTAGGGACTAGGCCCTCCCTCCTGCCTCTAGGCTAAGGGAGTATCTCTTCATGGGGAATGTGCTCCCAAAGTTCTTTTATACACCACGGATACATCCTGGTTCCACTGTCAGAGGTCCCTTAGACTGCCCAGGCCTTCTAACTGAGACCCATGTTCAGGGGGTCTGAGTCGGCCCAATGCTGGTTTCCCAGTTCCCAGCTATCAGTCTGGGGGCCCAGTAGCTCCTCCTTGTTCAGGTCAGCTGTCTCTATGTGTTTCTGTAGCCTGGTCTTGTCCTCCCTCTCTGCATCTGGATTCCAGTTCCTTGTATATTTCAAATGAAGGATGAGCTTTACTGTAAAATCTAATTTTAAAACTTGTGTCATATTAGATATTATCCCAGGATTAACTTCTTTGTGTGTGTGTGTTTCTTTCTTTCTTTTCTTTTCTTTTTTTTTTTTTTTTTTTTTTTTTTTTTTTTGAGATAGGGTTTTTCTGTTTTACAGCTTTGGCTGTCCTAGAACTTGCTATGTAGACCAGGCTGGCATCTCACAGAGATCCACCTGCTTCTGCTGGGATTAAAGATGTGTATCACACCACTGCCTGGTTTGGGATTGATTTTTTCAGAGAAGAAGTTTTATGACCTCCCCCTCCCCCCTTTTTTTTTTTTTTTTTTTTTTTTTGAGACAGGGTCTTACTATATAGGCCTGGCTGATCTGGAACACTGACCAGTCCAGCCTTGAACTCACAGAGTCTATCTTGCCTCATCCTGCCTTTAGTGCTGGGATTAAAAGGTATGTGCCACCATTCTTGGCACCTCCCTATTCTTAGTATTTAAGAACATGATGTTCTTTATCCATATTCTGCTATTTTTAGTTGTATTTACTTTGCATGCCAGATAGACCAAGAGGCTATAAATGTAAATTTACTAGTAGAAAAATTAATGTACTAGAGTACCATAAGTGCCCCAAGGAATACTTTGGACATTTAATTTTATTAAGAGTTTGATAGTGTAGGTGTTTGGTAGTGTAAGTCTGGCTTTCTGTGGGGAACCATCTTTCCAGCCCCTTCCTTAAAGAAACCCTGACAAAACTGGAGTATTTACCAGTGTAGCAATATTAACTTGGAAACACATGTTACTGCCTATTCTTGTTATTTACTATATTTGTGTTCAATAAATACCATAGATGTTGTATTCTATCAAACATTATTCACATAAGCTTTTGGTCATATTCTTATCAACTGTGTATTTTATGATCTTGTTTCATGTATGTTTCTGTTTAAAGATGCTGTATCATGTTCTTATATATTGATATGTATTGTTGATTTACTAAGATTGAGCTCATAGCCAACTTATGAAAGCATGTAACATGTTTGAATAAACCATATCTTATACATGTATTCTGTCTGTAAGACATATTACAGCCTTCTGGCACTTAGGAACACTGCCTTCAGATCCAATTAGATCATGAAAGGACACTTGTTTATAGACTGAGAGTTGGACCAGGAAGGCACATCATTACCTACTTTGAGTTCATTTGGGAGCATACACTTTAGATACACAGATTCTTACTGCTCTGCATATTGGCAAATAACAATACTGCTAGTATTGATTTGGGGGTTACAGATAAAATTTTAGTGAGTAGGCATATTTCCAGACACAGAAATCTGTATAGCAAGAATCAGCCAGCACTACCTACCATTAAATGGTAAAGTAAGAAATACTTCACCACAAAGTTATCTTACAACAGTTTCCTTGCTAAGTGCAAGTGGGCTTCATTAGCCATGAGAGTAAGGAGAGAAGAGACTTAGTGTATCTTTGTTATAAATGAGAATCTGCGACTTAGAAATTTCTTTTTATTGAGTAATTTAAAATATTTGATTTCTGTTCCTTTTTGTCCATGTCCTACAGCCAGGTACCATTGTTTGTACAAATTCATCACAGATGGCGAAGGATGTACATGGGAGAATGTCAAGGTCCTGGTGTTCGAACTGACTTTGAAATGGTTCATCTGCGTAAAGTGCCAAGTCAGTACACTCATTTGTCAGGACTGCTGGACATCTTCAAATCAAAGATTGTGAGTTGATATTGATACTGTCAGTCTTATTTGGGATCCAGATAAAACTAGCAGTTTGGTAATTTGAGCATATGGAAATAGTCTTCTAATATCAAGAATGTAATGAATTATAAGAAACTAATAGATTATATATTACTATATACATTTGAAGAAAATACCTTATAAAGGACCTGCGTATTTTTTTGTATGGTTGGTTAACATTCACTGATTGTGCTTTTCTGTAAGAATAAATTTGGTGGTCCACCAGTTTAGTAAGCTTCAGGTAGCAGCTTGTTTGAGACATTGACTTGGAGTATCCTGACTCCTAATCTGAATAGCCCTTTTCTGTTCTTTCAAAAATACTTTTTTCAAGTCTTCAACCTGTTGATCTTTAGGTTTAATATCTATCTGTATTGTGGCTGAGAGCTGCAGGACTAAAATGTATACCAAATATATCCATGGTACTCTGTGGCTCAGCTGGTGAAGGTGCTTGCTGACAGCCATGATCCCCAGGACCCAAAAGGTAGAAGAATAGAACTGAGCCACCAAGTTGTCCACTGACCTCTACAAGTGCATAGTGGCACATGTGTGCACCTCCTCTCCAATAGAAGGAATGTTATGAGTGTTTTACATATATATATATATATATATATATATATATATATATATGTCTGTCTGTGTACCATGTATGTACCTGGTACCTGAGGAAACCAGAGTGGGCACTGGAGTTAGATGGTTGTGAGCTCCCATGTAGGTCCTGGAACTGAACATGAGTCTTGTGCAGAGGAGCAGAAAGTGCTCTTAATTGCTGCACTCTCTCTCCAGCAGCAAAAGCCCCCCCCCCTTTTTTTTTTAAAGTCAAAAGCAAAACACTCTCATGAAGATGGTAGCCTTGCATAACCTGCTCTTGGGAAAAGAGTTCTGAATGCTGAAGTTGACATTATCTTATGTAAGTGTCAAATCAGTATACCACTGATTTGTTAGGCCTGTTGGACATCTTCAAATATTGTGAGTTGGCATTGGTTTTTATTATCAGTCTTAATTAGGTATCTGTGAAAAATTAGCAACTTGGTAATTTGAGGATATAGAAACATTCTTATATCAATAATGTAATGAATTATATTCAAGCTTGATTAACAACTCAAATATGTAAATTTATGATTTTATGTAGCAGTCAAAAAAATTGAGGGGTTGGAAAGATGACTCAGCAATTCTTCCAGAGGACCTGATTTCCATTCCAGCACCCACGTGGCTTAATAGAAAAGAAAAGAAAAAAAACAATAGACTGATATTTTCTGGTGTGATCCATTGATTAAGATAGACTCATCTGGGTAGTAGTGTTTCAATCAGAAACATGCAACAGTAGTTGATTGTATTTTTTTCTATTTCTTTTCTTTCTAAATTTTAGGTTTATGGGTTTTTTTTGCTATATGTATGTCTGTATACGAAGTGCATGTCTGGTGCACTCAGAGGTCAGAAGAGGTCACCAGAGCCCCTGGAACTGGAGTTACAAAAGGCTAGCCAATGGAGCTGGAAAGATTGCTCAGTGGTTAAGAATACTAGCTGGTCTTCAGAGGTCTTGAGTTCAATTCCCAGCAACCACATGATGGCTTACAACCATCTGTAATGAGCTCTGGTGCCCTCTTCTGGCTGGCAAGGATACAAGGCACACAATAAATAAATAAATAAATAAATAAATAAATAAATAAATAAATAAATAGCTAGCCAAGGTTGCATAGTGATACCCTCTCCCCAAATTAAATAAATAAATAATGAATGAATGAATAGATAAATAAATGCACAGATTTTTAGGCTGGGTGGTGGTAGTACACACCTTTAAACCTAGTACTCATGAGGCAGAGGCAGGAAGATCTCTGTGAGTTTGAGCCAGTCTTGTCTACAAAGTGAGTTCTAAGACAGCCAGGGGTGGAAAGATTGTGGTGTTGAGTAAGGGGGAAGGCAATGTGTCTAATATGTTAAAGTGGAAACAGGCCTGTTGTGGGTAGAGGAGCACAAGGAAGGGAGAAGCAGCAAAGACAATATAAAACACTACAATGAAAAGTAATTCTTTTAAAGCTAATAAACTTAAATGGAAAGGAAAGAAAAAAAAGGAAGAGACTATAGAAGAAACAGCACTGGTAAATGCCAGGCTGTCCTGGAACTCGTTGTGTAGACCAGGGTGGCCTCAAAGTCACAGAGATAATCCCAAGTGCTGGGATTAAAGGATGTGCCATCACTGCCTGGCTGTAAGCACTTTATTTTAAAGTAATTTTCTTTCTTTTCTCATTTTTTTTTTTCCCCCTCGAGACAGGGTTTTTATGTGTAACCCTGCCTGTCTTGGAACTCACTCTGTAGACTAGGCTGGCCTTGAACTCACAAAGGTCCTCTTGCCTCTACCTCCCAAATGCTGGAATTAATTTGTTTCCTGACATTTTTTTTTTAGACCTTTGTGTTTGTTGTTTGTTTGTTTGTTTTGTTTTTGACATGGGCTGTCATTGTATTGCCCAGGCTGGGCTGGAGTGCCCTGGGACAATAAGAACACAGTGGTTTATGTTTTCTAAATCTATATAGGTTTTTCATCAGTTGTTAACATTTGTGGAAAAAGGATGCAGAAATTATAGAGCTCTCTTGCTCTATAAATACACGGCCAAATAGTACTGACTCTTCACAGAGTGTACTTTCCCACTTTTAAAAAAAATGCGTAGAGGATAACAGTTCTAGTATTGTATATTATATTACATTATATTATATTATTATATTATATACTTAGAGCTGTCCTGGAGCTCACTGTGTAGACCAGACTGGCTCTAACTTACAGAGATCTTCCTGACTCTGGTGCTGGGTTTAAAAGGTGTGCAACACCACTGCCTGTGAATAAAAAAATCTGTATGTGTATTTATTTATTTATTTTTGAGTCATGGTGTCACTATGCAGCCTTGGCTGGCCTGGAGTCACAGAGAGTTGTCTGCTTCTACTTGTTTGGTGCTAAGATTAAAGGTGTGCACCACACTCGGCTGGCCTCTTCCTTCTTGATTTTCAGAGTTTATATACCACCAGTTCAGTCTTAATATTCCTTCTCATGGTTTGACTGTACACACGACACTATAAACTTAAACTCTGGCTCTGAAATGTTGGTGCTGAAGATTTTGAGCACCCGCTAACACATTACCATGTGATTGTCATTGCCTGTGTTTCCAGGGCTGCCCTTTAACTCCATTGCCTCCAGTTAGCATCGCTATTCGACTCACATTTGTGCTTCAGGATTGGCAACAGTACCTCTGGCCCCAGCAGCCTCCAGGTGAGAACATTTGGAGCTCTGTGTAGCCTACTGAATATAAACTGAAAAGAAAATGTAATAAGGAATTAAAATTATCTAGTGGTATTATGTCATACTAGAAATATCTGTACTCATTATAAATGTGATTGCTGATTTTGTCTGTGTAAGTTTTTTCTCCTAAAGAAAACTTGTCTTGTCTTTTAGAGACAGTGTTATTTTATATTGGACAGTTTATAAAAGCTGATATGATTTATAAAGCATCCCCTGTGATAGAACGATGTGTACATGCATTACCATATACTAGGTGATGATTAAAATACCTGTTTTTAGAGTGTTAAGAGAAGCCCCCTTCATAAGCTACAAACAGTAATGTAGAAACCTTAGAGCAGTTGTGACCCTTGGATGATCAAATAACCCTTTTACAGGAGTCATCTAAGACCATCAGGAAACCCATTTATTTCTTTACATTATGACTCATAACAGTAGCAAATGTAGTTATGAAGTAGCAACAAAGATAATATTATGGTTGGGGTCACCACATGAGGAACTGTATTAAAGGGTCACAGCATTAGGAAGGTTGAGAACCACTGCCATAGAGTAGGAAAAGAAAAATAAGTTTTATATAGTCTTGTGGAAGAAGACTGTAGAATATTTAATATGGACTTAGTAAAATGTCATCAGAATTTGTTTCCTGCTTGATCATTGATTAATTAATTTAAGAGTCATTAGTTATTAGCCTGTAGTATCCCAGGCTATTCCAAGGACTCAGCTATGAACAAGGCATCACCTAAGGTCTAGAGAAGCTCAGCCAGAAGGGCATAGAACCTCATTGAAAGTTTTTTCCCTGCTTAATTTGTTGGATATAACTAATTGTTCATAGTACTACTTTAAAAAAAACTTTTATTTAATGTTGTGTATATATGTGTAGGCATGCTTGTGTGACCAACTTCAGCTCCAAGTTCTTTGTTCCAGTTGCAGGGCACCCTGCATGGGATGTTCTGGGTCTGGGCCCAAAGGTGTTCTCTCGGAAACCTACTATGCAGTCCTTACTGCTGTGGGTGCAGGACCCCAGTGTACTGCATGCTCTTGATTCCCAGGCAGCCCGCTTTTTGAGACAGAGTCTGTCATTGAACCTGGATCTCAGGGTTTTGGCTAGATTGGCTGGCCAGCAAGCCCTTAGGATCTGTCTGCCTTCACCCTCCAGTTGGGGTTACAAGTGTTCATCATGGTGCCCAGCTTTTACATCTGTGTTGGGGATCAAACTCCCTATGTAGGCACAGCAAGTACTTTACTTAGTGAGATATCATCCCATCCCCATTCCATTTTTAAAGACAGGGTCTCCTGTAGACCAGATCTATGAGGGCATTTACATTTTAGACACAACTTAATAAATAAAGATCTATAAATAAAGCTGGAAGGCTTACCACTCTACCCCCTTTTTTGAGACAGGCTCTTTCTGTGAATTTCTGGCCAGTCAGGTACTGACTTTTTAAGGCCAGGCTGGCATTGAACTTAACTGCAATCTTCCTGCTTTAGCACACTAAATTAGCATACTAAAAATTAGCTGTGATTTACGGAGGAGCCACACCTCTGTATTAATAAACTTCTAGCTTAAAACATTTTTTTTTTTTAGTGTACTGCCTTCAAAGAAAACCAAAATAATTTTTCATGGTTTATTTTGTTCTAACTCTTTGGCTATAAGATTCAGAATAATTGCTAGGTTAGAGATAATACTGAAATTACTGTCATACATACTCGGCTTTTGGCAGTTATGTGTATGTACCACTACTGTTTTTATACCGTTGAGTAACTTAGAACTTTAATGTACACAAAAGAGCTACATCTAAATAATAGCAATATCACTGCATGGTTTATAATCTTCTACTGTCAAGTTTCCATATTCTTCTTTTCCTTTCCCCAAGACCACTCTACTAATCCCTTTTCAACCTTTCCCAAGGTAACCTTGGGTGTATATCACTGACAGGATATATACTCAGCGTGTGTGGATCCTTGGATTTATTTCCAGGTGGCGTGGTCACTAATGATCTAAGAACCCCACGGTTAGACTCTGATATGGTAATTCTGACAGCTAATAGGTGCTTGAGGATGTTCTGTTGCCAGATTTTTAAAAATGTGGATAAAAACATTAACATCCCTAGTAGATGGAAGTCTGTATAATCTCTTAGCATTTTCTTTTATAACTTGCTGTCTGCACTGTTATAAGCACCTCAAAGCTATTAACTTCTTAAAGGTTTAACTTAGCTAGTGTCCGTCTGTCCCCAAGGCAAGGTCTGTATAGTTCTGGCCTGGAACTCACTATGTAGTGTTTATTTCTACTTTTTGCCAAATAAAGGAATGTATTTTTCCTTGTTTAGATATAGATGCCCTTGTGGGAGGAGAAGTTGGAGGCCTGGAGTTCGGCAAGTTGCCGTTTGGTGCCTGTGAAGATCCTATCAGGTGAGCATTTCAGCCTATCCCTTGAGTCACGGGATTATTTTGCTTTGTAAGTTTATACTGATGTCCACTTTGTGACACTGTTGTTGAAGTAATGCTGGAGATAACTATGTACTCTCTTTGGTTTGTAACTTCGCTTGAGAATTTCCCACATGAATACTCTTCCTAAGGTTTGACCCGACTGTGGGCTAGGATGTGGCTGAGTAGTCAGGTGTCTGGAGTGTGCACAGTCCCTGCACACACAGTTTGGGGTCTTGTGGGCCTTATCTGGCCAGTATGTATTTTTGTGTGGCTCATAATAAGTTTTGCATTTTTAAAAGTTTGTATTAAAACACACACACACGCACACGCACACACGTGCAGAGATAGCAGATTGTACATGACTCAGGACACCAAAATATTTGCTCTTTGGCTTTTGTATGAAAAATTTGTCTGCCCTCTCATCATCTGTATACATCATGTTTTTCAAAACTGAGAAAATTTATCTGCCATGCATTTTAGCACTTCAAAGTGTATAGTTTAGTGGTTTTTTACTATAAATTAGTGCAGTCATCATCACTGTATAAGTCTAAAATATTAATACCTCAGAAACTGTTCTTTTAAAATTTGTATTGCTTGTGTTTTTTATGTCTTTAAAACTACTTGAATTCTGTGATGAAGTATGATTGTTCCTTTAAATTTTGTGTTCTGGGGCTTATCTAGATAATTCTCATCAGCAAAGATGATTTTTTTTGTTGGATTAATGGGTTTTGTGGGAAACGTGCTGTCTTAATCATTCATGTTTTTATTTTTGTGATGAAACCTGTTCACGTGGACTTACTTCTTTACTTGTGTGTCTAATGTGAGGGTCTGATCTGGCCTTCTTTAGACTGGGCCAGCGTAGGAGCTGCATGACTGGAGCTAGGTGGGTAAAGCTATTTAATTGGACTAGGCAGAGATGACTCCTGCAACCCTCTTCCTGCCTAGGGCTGTGGGAAGGATGGGAGAGCGAAGGAGCAACTCACCAGGCAAATGTGGTTCACAAAGCAGGTGCTAGGGTCTTGGGTTGTAGCTTGATCTGTGAATGATGAGATGGCAGCAGGTAGAGAGGGAGGAATAGGAATGGAAGGAGGCCACTTACCTGCCATGGCTACTTAGTGAATAAGCTGGTTTGGGGCCAGCCTGGCTGTGGTTATGGGGGAGGGGTATAGCGGCTCATCTGTGGCAGGAAGCAGTTACTTTAAAGAGAAATCCTTTCTAAATATGCCATTATGCTTGCTATATGTCACAGTTTTGTTTATCCATTCATTAACTGATGGGCATTTTACTTGTTCCTTTGTTTGGTTGTGTTTTTTCTTGACAGGGTTTCTCTGTTGCCTTAGCTGTCCTGCAGCTCACTCTGTAGACTAGGCTGGCCTTGAACTCACAGAGATCTTTCTGCTTCTGCCTCCTGAGTGCTGGGATAAAGTCATATGCTCTACCATGCCTGGCTCTTACTTACATGTTTTGTTTATTATATAATGTAACATTTTATATTTATATGACAACTTCATATGGATATGCTTTCCTTTCTTAAACTAGTTGTTTTCAATTTACTATACATAACACCACTTTTTAAAAGTTCATAGTTTTTATTATCATGTATATAATGGGTTTCATAGATTTGTATAATGTCTTTTGATTTACCTCTCCCATTACCCTCTTATCTCCTCCCATTCCTGATGATCCCCTTGCTCTCCCTAGTTAGTACCCCTTCTACTTTCATAAGTTTTTACCTGTCTTTCTCTTTGGGAACCTCTGAGTTGTTTACAGGAGTGTGGGTGTTGGTGCAGGGTTATTTACAAGAGTATGGACAACTTGCCAGCAATTACACCCTTAACAACCATTATCTATACCACCTTACATACATCTTTAGTTGTTTAGGACATTTTCTAGAAATAGAACTACTGGGTCAGAGGATATATGTACAGAATTTAACCCTTTGGATGTATTTTATGGTTTTATTTTTTTTTTTTTTTTTTTTTTTAATTTTAGTGAACTCCATTTAGCAACAACATGGCCTCATCTGACAGAAGGGATCATTGTGGACAATGATGTTTATTCGTAAGTATATTAAGAACTTTATTCTAATAAATTAACCACCAAGTGCTTAGTACAAGGTTTTATTTTTTAAAGATCAGTGTTTAGACCTGTTTGTGTAAATTTAGAGATGACTTTTTAAGATGCTGCTTTAGGAAGGTGTTATTTAATTCAGGGGAGTGGACTGTCTGAATCTTAACTGTTGCAGCTTAGTGGACCCTACCATTTAGTGTGTGTTTCTTTTGAACTCTTCTTAGCTTCTAAGAACTATTGTAGGGCTAGAGTGTAGCTCAGGAGTAGAGTACCTGCCCACTGTGAGGTTTGGCGCACACACACACACACACACACACACACACACGATGGCCCAGTGGTTAAGAGTACTAGCTGTTCTTCGAGGACCACACACACACACACACACACACACACACACACACACACACACACACACATATACACACACATATACACGATGGCCCAATGGTTAAGAGTACTAGCTGTTCTTCGAGGAACACACACACACACACACACACACACACACACACACACACACACACACACACACACACACACGATGGCCCAGTGGTTAAGAGTACTAGCTGTTCTTCGAGGACCTCAGTTCAATTCCCAGCACCTATGTGGCAGCTCATAACCGTCTGGAACTCCAGTTCCAGGGGATCTGGCACCTTCACACAGACATACATTCAGATACAACACCAATGCACATAAAAAATAAATAATTTAAAAAAGAAGTAATGAGTATCCAGATATATGTGATTTGTTCTCGTGTGTATATGATGTGATTGGGTAGGCGCACACATGCCATGCCACATGTGTGGAGATCAGAGAAAAACTTTGAGGACTCAGTTCTTTCTTTCCACAGTGGATTCGGGGGATCAAATTCAGGTTGTCAGACTTTTAGCCATTTTGTTGGTCTGGATATTTGATCACTAAGTGTTCTCAGTAAGAAAACAGTGCTGCCCTGTTCTGTACAGTTGGAACAACTTGAGCATTTCAGCAAAGCTAGGAAAATAGTGAAAGAAAAAAGCATTTTACTTCCTTTTTATTCTGGTTGCGAAACTGAGAAATAGACACTTCCTCTTTTTACAGTTAAAGGAAACTCATTGTATTTATTGATAGTAAAAGTAACAACATAAATGTTCTCACTTAGTTGGGTGTAAAGAAGAAAATAAAGGCATTATGGTTTTCAAGGACCCATTAAACCTTAGTAGATGTATGTTTGCCTTAAAGATTTATTTATTTACGTATTTGTTTATTTATGTGTTTGTTTGTTTGTTTATTGTGTATTCTGCTTTCATGTATACCTGCACACCAGAAGAGGGCACCAGATGTCACAGATGGTTGTGAGCCACCATGTGGTTGCTGGGAATTGAACTCAGGCCCTCTGGAAGAACAGCCAGTGCTCTTAAACTCTGAGCCATCTCTCCAGCCCCTATTGTAGATGTTTTTAAAGTTTAAATTTTTATATCAATTTGCTGTATTCTTTTGGTATGTTATGTCTTGTGTTTGCATCCCATGGTATAAGTGTGGAAATTAGAATAAATATGAGCTCTGGAGATTGAAATCAGGGCATCAGGTTTGGTGGCAAGTACCTTTTCCTGACATCTTGATGGTTATGAATTTTAAAAAAATGTGCATAGTACTTCATTAAGTAGATCCCCTGTAGTGTACTTGAGGAACAGGATTCTTTCAGTTTTGTCAAAGATTTGTAGCCCTTGTTTTCATTAATAATAATAATAAATTAAAAGCAGGGTGTTCAAGGTGATTATGCAGAGACTAGAAAAAAATCTAAAAAAGAATAATTGTGCATAGTTTTAATTCTTTATTGAATTCTTTAAAAATGTAATCGTGTCGCTGGGTGGTAGTGGTCCACACCTTTATTCCCAGCACTTGGGAGGTTGAGGCGGGTGGATCTCTGTGAGGTCGAGGCCAGCCTGGGCAATAAATAGACTGAGTTCCAGGACAGCCAAGGCTACACTAAGAAACTCTGCCTCCAAAAAAAAAAAAAAGAAAGAAAAAAAAAGAAAGAAAGAAAAAAAAAAAGTATTTGTCTCATTTGGTTATTATTGTGCATCTTATAATTTTTATATTATTAAATTTTGTTTTGATCTTGGTAGTTATTTATTTTGGTCTTAAAGAGTTTCATGTCTTAAGAGTTTATATTTTTAACAACTTGCTTAAATGGCAATATATGTCTGGATAATGGTTAAGTGTAAGTGAAGCAAATGTAGCTGGGTTTGGTGGTGTATACTGGTAATCGCAGTACATGGGAGGCTGGGGCTGAAGAAATCAAAGAGTTGGTGGCTAGCTTGTCTCCAAAAGATAGGGGAGAGGATGAAAAACGAATTGTGTTTCCCTTTATAGAATGTTAAATGCATTTTATTTAATTATTTCATTTTGCTTTTTCATTTTATTTTATTTTTAGACAAGGTTTCAATATGTAGCCCTGTCTGGCCTCCTCCTATTGAGCCTCCGGCCACAGCCTCCCAGGTGCTATGGTGACAGGTGTGTGCCACCCTACCTAGTTTTCATTCCATTGCATTGTGGCATGTTTATGAGTCTTAGAGATGATCATAATTACTGTTTTATTACACCTTAGTGATTTGGATCCTGTTCAAGCTCCCCACTGGTCTGTTAGAGTTCGAAAAGCTGATAATCCTCAGTGTTTACTAGGTAAAGTACATCATTATGTTCCTTTTCTGAAATGTCACTTATGTGTTTTCCAAATTGGAACCTGAATACATTCTTTATACTTCATTTCACCTAAACATTTTTATAAACTCCTCAGTTAACATGTTACAGAAAAAGTCTTTGCCAGTTACAGTGAATCTTTGGTTAATAGCAGTAGCAGGATTTCTTCCCTTTAATGAATCTATACTTCAACATTCTCTGTTATATTCTCACATCTTGGTTTGCTTTCCTTATGTTATTGTGTCACCTTTTTTTCTGGCACAGTCTGCATCTTCAGTTGAGTCCTCTCTCTCTTCTGATGTCCTGGGCCTGTGATGTGAAGGCACAGGAGCGTTGACTTTGTGCTCTGGGATGGTGCTGTTTCAACTCTTTCCACTTAGGACTCTTTCTCACTGAGGCTTCTTTACATGATAGCATGTGTATGCAATAAGATCGGTATATAGGTCAACATATTTAGAGGTGAAACAAATTTGTATACTGATGAGATGTATGCGCTTGTTTATTTTCACATAAAGAGTGGAATCATCGTTTTTAACATTTTACAGAGCTGTTTTTTTTTTTTAATGATTTATTTTATTTACTTTTTGCGCATTGGTATTTTTACCTGCGTGTATGTCTGTCTGTAGGTGTCAGACCCCTTGGCAGTAGAATTCCAGAGAGGTGGAGCTGCCAAGTGGGTGCTGGGAATAGAACCTGGGTCCTCAGAAACAGCAGCCACTGCTCCCAACCACAGAGCCATCTCTCTAGCCCCCAGACTATAATTGTCACTTCTGAAAATGCTGCTTTGCATAAACATGTAATATAAAATGGCAGGATTGTGTTTAGTATCATTTCAGAAATTGCTGGAAGTTCAGTTCTAATCTCAAATCAAAATTCACTTGAGCTATTTGTTATGAAACTCAAGTCTGCAACTCAGCAGTTTTTAAAAGTAAACATTCTACTAGTATAGTCTGAGGATACACTTATATTATCCTTACATGCTGAGGATAAAGGATACGAAAATTTGTCTTTTTCTGTAACTATATCATTATGTGTATACAAAGGCAAAAAATTGATATGTCCAGTAAAAATGCTGCAGCATACAATAGTGTGGGGTCCCAGCACCTGCACTGCAGAGTTAACACTGACTGTTGAGTAGCAGGGCTGCAGTGGAGTTTGCATGCAGCATGTGAGGGCACTGCCAGAAACACCTCAGATTTATCATGTTTGATTTCGAGTTAATTTTTGATCATTCTATACAGTTTTACTGTCACCATTTTTTTATGTGTATAGAAATCATTCAGTTAGAAAACCACAGTTTAAGAAGTTGGGCATTAATGCTGGAGGGCTCACCCTGGGTTGGCCTACCCCAATATCTGCCCCATCTATGATCTGCTGGAGCATGTGATGGGACCAGTCCTGCAGACCCAAAGCTTCGGGATCAAACGACACAGGGCAACATCAGGTTATCCAAGAGGAGTTCCAGTGGGGGCCCAGCTTAGATAGTGTAGCAGAAACCAGAGCCTTGAACCAGACCAGTGACTCTTTGTAGTGGACACCTGCAAGTAAAGATACATGGTTTACTGCAGGATTCACTCTGTCACATTGCAGCTTCTATGAGATTGTTTTTTTTTTTTTTTCTTTTCTCTTAAATTTTATTTTATTTTGTTGGGGAGGTTGCAAGGGCAGAGGGTGGATATGAATAGACAGGAAAGTGAATGGGATCAAGATGCATGATGTAAATGATATAAAAAATAATAAAAAAATGAAGCTGGGCATTAAACTTTGTGCCAAGTTGTATCACATCTGCAAACCTATTTTATGGAGAAAGGGGTATGTTAATACACTTTGATTCATCTAGCAGATTATTTGAAGATTAAGTGAAATATAAACTTAAAGTACCTTGAAAAGTAGTAATTGCCATTCAAAATCTATGTCTGGAATTTTCTCTTTTTTATCTTTTATCTTTTTTTTTCTCTATCTCCAGAGAGATAAGACCTCTCTGGAAGTCCTGATTAGCCTTGAATCACTGTAGAACAAGCTGAGGCTGGCCTTGAACTCAGAGATTTATCTGCGTCTGCTTCTTGTGTGCTGAGATGAAAGACATGTGCTTCTATTCCCTTTCTTAGAAGCTTTATGACACCTTTCCTTATTTCCCTCTTACATTTAGTACACGAGAAGATATTTTCTCTCTTCTATTCAGTTATGTCCACCTTGATTCTATATCACTTAACATGTTTCATTAAACTGATAATTAAAATACTGCTTCTTAATGACAGCATGTTTCTTTAAAGTATTTTTAGTTCTGTTTTTAAATATATTTCTGTTAATTGAAGTTTCATACTTTTTTAGCTCTTAATCATTTGTTGTGTGCTGTTCACCAAATGTCAACTAACACTTGACACCTATGGTATCTGATGGTGGAGAAATGATCAACCTTTTGAGTCTGTCTGGGGCCTTAGCAAGACAGCTTGGTCAGTAATGAGTTTCCAGACCCACATCTTATACCCACAAATCTGAACAACTTTCCTAAGCTCCTGAAGCAGCAGTCTCCCCAGTGAAACACATTAAGTTGCTACACACCTCATGGCATGTTAGGTGCTAAAAGTGCTTATGCATCTGTATGTATATCACACTTTAGCCGTTGTCCTGTTCTTTAGAAACTCCAGTGTTTGTTTTATAATAATTGATGTTACATTGGCAAATCTGCCTACTAGACCACTTCCTAGTACCTCCTTCTTCATCCGTTGGCTTTTGTAACAACTGTAAAAGACTTGAGAAACATTCGAATTTTAAGTTACTGGCTTTTGATCTCATTCACCCTCAACTTTCGGGGTTTTTTGTTTGTTTGCTTTTTCAAGACAAGGTCTCTGTAGCCTTGGTTGTCCTGGAGCTCTGAGACCAGGCTGGCCTCAAACTCAGAGATCTGCTTGCCTCTAGGCTTCCCAAGTACTGGGCTCAAAGGCATGTGCCACCATTGCCTGTTTGTGTAGTTTTAATGACAAAATTATAATTTCCTACATTTCTGAAAGAAGTCTAGACATGTTAGTAAATTCTAAAACTTTAAATTTATACTTTGTTAAACCTTAATTTCTTGGTGCAAATATAGCACTTCTTTTTTCCTTTTGAGTCAGTGTCTGATGTAGTAGGCTGTTCTTTTTAATATCCTTTAAGTTGAGGATGACCTTGAATGATGGGAGATGAATGATGGGAATGCCCCAATTTCTGCTGATAGAGGAGTCACTGCCATACACGATTGGAGTTGAAAGGAGTTGACAGGGAAGACAGTCAGCCTCTCAATGAAAAGCTTTGTGGAAGACAAGGTCATGGTTCCATGTACACTTCTGAAAACTCAGTGCTTGGGAGGCTGGGACAGGAAGATAGCAGGTCCACATCCAGCCTACTATATTTGATTTTTTTTAAATTAAAAATTTTTTTTGTTGCACTTACTTGGGGGAGATGTGGCATTCATGTGCCATAGCTTGTATAGAGATAGAGGGAATTGGTTCTTCCACCATGTGGGTCTGAGAGATTGATCCCCACTGAGCCATCCTGGCAACCCCAAGCAACTCTGCAACTCTTGAAAATGTAAGAAATCATTTTTGTCTTTACAGTGACACCAAGTGTATCATTAATATGCAACCAAGGATGTAATAGCTTCGTGTTACATGCTTTATTGATCCTCTAAAAACATCTTTGTAGTTTGTTTTTAAGATGTTTTGTTTCAGAAGTATTGTGGGATAACAGGGAAACAAAATGATATAATCATATTGTTACTTTTATTTTTTAATGATAAAAGATGTTGGTGGCATTGAAACCTGTGGAAAGAGCGTAATATTATGAAGTACATTTTGTTTTCCTTTCATTCTAGAAGGAAAATTTCGTTACAGAAATAGAGAAGGGAAAGCAAGCCCCCAAACAGAAAGAGTACTGAGTAGACTCTGCTCTGTCTCCAGATGGAGAAAAGGAGCAATCCGCTTCTGAAATTGGGCAGTTTTTATCTTCCTCAGAGCAAAACAATTTTCTTCCCCCCAACCATAGCTCTTAAGACCAGGGTTTCTTCATATAGTCCTGGAAGTCACACTGTAGATCAGGCTGACCTCCAACTCAGATTCTTCTGCCCCTGCCTCCTGAGTGCTGGGACTAAAGGTGTGCACCACCACCACATGACTTCCCAAGTATATCTTAATTTATAGCTTTTGTTAAGAGACAGGTACTTAGGGCGGTAGTGACACACACCATTAATCCCAGCACTCAGGAGGCAGAAGCAGGCGGATCTCTGTGAGTTCGAGGCCAGCCTGGTTTACAGAGGGAGTTCCAGGACAGGCTCCAGAGCCACAGAGACACCCTGTCTTGGAAAAAGAAGAGGAGGGGATGGGGGAGGGGAGGGAGAGGAGAGAGAGATACTTATGATGGTCCGATTTCTTGGAGTTAAATGTCAAAAATAAGTTTTTTTTTTTTTTTTTTTTTTTTCTTCTTCTTCTTTGTAGGTGATTTTGTCACTGAGTTTTTAAAAATTTGCCGTCGAAAGGAATCAACTGATGAGATTCTTGGTCGATCTACATTTGAGGAAGAAGGAAGAGGTGACATACTTTTCCTTTTTTTACATTCTTTCTAAAGCCTTGTCCTTGTTCTTTGGAATATATTCTGGCAACTTTTTATGTGAGTTAAATTGGAGAAGCGAGTGTAGATGGATTGCATACCTGCCTTTCTTTCCAGGCTGTACCCAGAGCTTGTTCAGACATCAAATGTATTTAATCAATTCTTGTCAGCAAGAATACAGTAATAAGGCTTTTTGAAAAGCATAGTTTTAGATATTCATGTTTAAAGTCCCCTGAGGAAAAATAATTTGTGTGATTTATCTCTGACACCCACACTTCCATGTAAAGCTGAACATGTGAGTTAGAACTTTAAATTTTATAATTCTGAAAGCATGGAATATTTGTGTAAAGAAGAACTTAAATGTGAATGCCATCAGTTTACTGACCACTTTCCTGCATTTCTTTCTACTTTGTAGAGGTTGCTGATATAACTCATGCCCTGTCAAAGCTGACGGAACCAGCACCAGTTCCAATTCATAAATTATCAGTTTCAAATATGGTACATACTGCAAAGAAGAAAATACGAAAGCACAGAGGAGAGGAGTCACCACTGAACAACGACGTTCTCAATACTATTCTCTTGGTAAGTAGCCACCTCGGTTTTATGTGTATGTGCATAAACATGGGCCCTTTGTATATTTGGTTCATTCCTTATGGCAAGCACTGGCTTGGGGGCGTAAAGTCCCACATTCCGAGAGTATCAGTCAATGGGGAGGAGTGGGTTACACTCAGACAGGACCAAGAGGTGGTAAGAAGAGAACAGAAAGTGGGCATGGGTGTGCGGGTGCATGCCCGTTTGTAGCCACGTGTGCTAACATGTGTAGTGGGAGTCAGGATGCTTGCTTCCTGAAGAGGATGGGAGCTCAGGTTTTACTTTGCAGTGCTGGCCTGTGCTGCCCGAGGACACGACGGACAGTGGTGTGTGTAGGGTGATCAAACCCAGGGCCTGGGCTGCCCGAGGATACGACGGACAGTGGTGTGTGTAGGGTGTGGGTGGGCAGCAGGGACCCGCGTGATATAGCACTGCCCTTGTCTTACAGTCTAACTGCTAGAAACACATCAGTTTGTGACAGAAACAGAATAGTCTAGAAAAGTCTGTACAGTAAGGACTACAGGGGACAAAGAAGAGGTTAGGTGGGTCCTAGGTATAATTTAGTTGGGATGGGTACAGCCTAGGAGCCACAGGGCAGAGTGAATACCAACTTCCCGCATATCACACACGTCACTGCAGTTTTCCAATCTCTCATGAAACTGATAGTCAAGCATGGTGGCGCATGCCTTTGATCCCAGCACTTAGGAGGCAGAGGCAGGTGGATATCTCTGAGTTCTGGTCTTCAAAGTGAGTTCTAGGACAGCCAGAAATGCATAATAGAGAGGTCTCTCTATGCCTCAAAAAGACCAGGAAAAAAAAAAGGAGCTGGAGATTGTAAAATTAAAGGACCATGTGTGGTACTTTCTGGCATGAAATAGACCTTTACTTAATGATAGCTGTTCTTCTAGTAACTGTACTTATACTATAGTCTTGAGGAAAATCCTTCTAGCATAGTGTAATGAAGGGAAGAGAATGGTGTATGTGGATCTGATGCTGACCTGAGCATATGTCTTGCCATGTTTTTGAACAAGATTCTTAGAGCTATAGCTGGTACATTGTAAACAGAACTGAAATGAGAATGGGATAGTGTTGTAAATGTCCCTCTCCTGGTAGTTATTCAATAAGTCTGTTAAATATTGGTTAAAAAAAAAAAAAAAAACCTAAGAAGTCTGGGCATGTGACAAAGAAGACAGATTATTGGGTGGCATTATCAGAAAACAGTTTGGATACTAATGAAAAAAAAGTAATTCTCTGTACAGAAGACTCCTTAAGAATGTGTCTTTACAACTTGGTACGGTGGCGTAAGCCTAGCACTTAGAAGGCTAAGGCAGGAAGACCACAAGTTCAAGTCCAGCCTTAAAAGTGTTCAAAGTGCAAATTATTCAGTCAGTTGTCATCACCACTGAACCCTCCCATCTAAACGCGCACACACCGTGCTAACTTAGAGAAGATACCCTGGCCACTGCAGGCCATTGCTCCTCATTATCTAGGTCTTTCATACATGAAAACCTGTGTATGATCTCATCACAGGCTCTCTTGAGTACAGAGGTGTTTTTAGGTTGTCTGTTACTAAAGTTTTGACTCTACCGATATTCACATTGTTTTTCTTACACAAAATAAATATACTATCAATATCTGTCTATATATGTATATTTGATGAGTATGGAATCAGTGTGGTGAGATTTTTGCTTCTGTGTTGCTTAGTTCACAGAATCAAGTGGTTATTTATAAAATTTCTGAAATTTGTGTATTACTGAAAACAATTTCTTTGACAGAATATAGAATCAGCTGGGCATCTAGTAAGAACATGTCTATAATTTTAATAGCAAATCCACTGGAAAGTCAGGCAAGTTTAACATGTATTATCCCCTTCCCCAGTTTTTGTTCCCAGATGCTGCTTCTGAGAAGCCATCCGATGCAAATACTTCAATAGACAGTAGCAACCCTCCACCAGAGGGTGAAGACTATGTAAGTTGGACTTCAACATTAAAGTATTTTAAATGCAATTAATGTCTAAGGGTTTGCTGAATACCTACTGTGGCAGCCTAAATATCTCTTCATTTTAAAAACCATCTTGGAATCAGGCAGTAGTGGTGTACACCTTTAATCCCAGCGCTCAGGAGGTAGAGGCAGATGGATCTCTGTGAGTTCCAGGACAGCCAGGAATACACAGAGAAACCCTGTCTCGAACCCCGCCCCTCCCAATCACCCTACAAAGAAAATCTTGGGAAATTGAATGGAGTTCACAGCCGCTCAAATAATGAGCTGCTTAGGACATTTGCATAGATCCCTGTTTTGGGTAGCAAGAGCTTTTAGGAGACAGAAGATAATAGCCTATATGCATAGCTGTCAGAGCCCCCTTATTTTAGAGTTCTTGTCAAATCATTAAGTTCGTTTTGTAGCAGATTCTTATTGGTTAACTTTGATCTGATTCTTCTTACAGGCTTATTTTCATATATGCAAATTTGCTGTTAACAGGATTTTGTTTGTTTCTCTTTTGTTAAATTTAGACTCTCTACAATCAGTTCAAATCTGCGCCCTCTGACAGTTTAACATACAAACTGGCCTTGTGTCTTTGTATGATTAATTTCTACCATGGAGGGCTGAAAGGAGTGGCACATCTCTGGCAGGAATTTGTACTTGAGATGCGCTTCAGATGGGAAAACAACTTTCTGATTCCAGGGTAATAATTTTAATTTCCAATTGTTTAGGTAGTAGTTTTTCTTTCTTTTTAATCAGCAAACATCTGACTTCTTTTATGAACCCTTCCAAATGTGGATACAGCTTCCTCAGAGTTGCTCTGTGCAATACATTTATAACAGAAGAAAAGGCCTGACAACCTGTCAGCAGAAGATTGGGTCAATTGTGCTTCCTGTCTACAGTTTTCTTCAAAATCTGTTTTGTTTTGTTTAAGAGGTATATTGGGGATTGAACCCAGAGCCTCAGACATGCTAGGCAAGTGCTCTACCACTGAGCTACATCTGTGCCATCAAGAATCTTTTTATAGGAACTACGTTGGGCATGGTTGGTGGCTCAATCCTTTTTCCCAGCTCTCAGGAAGCAAGAGGCAGAGGCAGGCAGATTTCTGTATAGCAAGTTCCAGGCCAGCCAGAGCTACACAGTGAGATCCTGTTTCAACAAACAAGATTAAGTCATAGAAACTGTATTAGTGATTAGGTATGGTGGTGATAAGTCACATAATGCTTTCACTTATGCTGATATGTAGGTGTAGGAAAAAAATTAGAAATACAGTCAACTGTTAATAGTTTTCCCAGGTGTAAAAGTACTTCTTTTTTTTCTTCTTTCTATGTATTTAATCATCTATACATATATTTTATTATTTGAAGAAAATACCTGTAAAGGGGTACTGTAAGTCCACCCACTAAACATTATCTAGAATATTTTTATATAATACAGACAACTCACTAATTAAATAGACCATTTACTGAGCATTCTAGGCTAGTGCTTGTCTGCCGTGCTAAGCAGAAAGTCATGTGAATAGTGCAAAATGGCCCCTCACCCAAAAGTGCTTTTTTGTGTTAGAGAGTTTGCTGGTCTGTTTATCTGGATTTTCTCTTGAATGTTTCTGTTTTGCTCTGGGTGTTATCATAAATGCAAAAGCAGAGTGAATGGAAGAACCCAGTAATTTAGAACCAGAGGGAGGCCAGGATCTCACTGGAAAAATAAAGATGAATGCATGGCTGACTTTAGTTCCTGTGATGTGCAAAGTACGGTACACTAGTTACTTCCTGTGGTGGGTTTAGAGTCTCAAGTTTCTAATGAGCTTGGAAGCTGTTGTGAGTTTGCCCTTATGTTTCACATGTCTCTTACATTTGCTGTTGATTATAATCTAGGAGGCTAAAATAAATCTGAACTTTTAATCATATGTACCCTCCTGAAAACTGGCTTTATTATGTATAGAAATCTAGAGTTAGCTTCTTAGGAGTATAGCTAAAAATATGTCCATGAATAAGTAGGCTTATCTGGTATAATGTCACTAAAACTAAACTTTTTTTTTTTTTTTTTTCTTTATTTGGTAGACTAACAAGTGGACCACCAGATCTAAGATGTTGTTTACTACATCAGAAACTACAGGTAATAGTTTCCCCACAACTGCAGCAGTATGTACACACACACTTGAAGCTTAAGCTATCACTTAAGTGTAGTGATGGCTTAAATAGGCTCTTTTCCTTGTGCTGCATCTGGGTTGCTTATAATCCCTATATATAATTCTTAGCAAGGTCCTGGGAAGAGTAGAAAGAAATAGCCAAGCAATTGATACATTTTCTCTTTACTAATTCATCCATAAATGTTATTTCTGTTTTCTTCAGATGTTAAATTGTTGTATTGAAAGGAAGAAAGCACGTGATGAGGGGAAAAAGACGAGCCCTTCAGATAATGTAACTAATGCATATCCAGGGGATGCAGGGAAAGCTGGAGGCCAGCTAGGCCTGGACCACCTCAGAGATTCAGAGAAGGAAAAGGGAGAAATGGGGAAATCCTGGGATTCCTGGAGTGATAGTGAAGAAGAATTCTTTGAATGCCTCAGTGATACTGAAGATCTTAAAGGAAATGGACAGGAGAGTGGCAAGAAAGGAGGCCCCAAGGAGACGGCAAACTTAAAGCCAGAAGGCCGGCTGCACCAGCACGGGAAACTCACATTGCTGCATAATGGAGAGCCTCTGTACATTCCGGTGACCCAGGTATGTGCACCAAGGCTTTCAGGCTCAGTTCCCTGTTGTTGATTAATTTCTTCCCTAGTAGGAGATGATTGCTTTTGGTAGGGGAGGTTTGGAATTGAACTGTGGAACTCCTAGGTCTGTCCCTGTGAAATTGAGTCATGGTGTTTTGAACCTTTAGTAGATAGTACTCATCTTAGATTCGGTGATTTATTAATTTTTTGAGGATTCCGTGCAACTCCAATTTTTTTCCCTGTATACTCTTGGGTGTGGAGCCACCCACTGGAACATGGTTGGCCTACCAGGAGCCACACCCTTCAAGAAAAACTGACTGTCTTCTCTCTGGGAATCCATCACCTGCGTGGCTCCTCACTCAAGGGTGGGAGGGGCACTCAGGAACCTCTTTCTACTCCCTCTTGGAACGCTGGCTGGCTTGATCCCATGCAGGCAGCTGCAGCTGCTGTGAGCCAGTCAGTGAGTGTAGGGACCTGGTCATGCCCAGACATGCTGTTTTGCTTTGTCTTCTCTTACAGACTTTCTGTGCCTCTCCTTCCACAGTGGTCCCTGAAGCTCATGGAATTATTTTTTAAACTGAGTATGGGATATTTCAAAAATATGGAATGGAAAGAACAAAAATAATAGTCCTTTAAGTAGGATTATTTTTTATTTCTTCAAATATGTTTTAAAACCATTATACCATTAGTACAAAATTCAGTGTCTTAGAAAGAATTCATTTTTGGTGATTGGTTTTTGCATAAAAGATATCTGAATACCTATTATTGTAGAAAAAAAAATAGCAAGCTACAGCCCACTGGTTCAGCACTTATCTATTATTACTATTTGAGTTATGTTTCTTACACTTGTTTCTTTGCATTAATATGTACATACTGATATTTATGGTTTGATTTTGTTACTGAATGTGTGCACTGGTATTCAGCTCTTTGTCCTGGCTTGATGGTCACCCCGTGCCATTTCTTTATAATAGCTGCATAATATTCTATCTAACACATGGAAGAGCTATAGCTTATTTAATTATTCCTGTCCATCACTGTGCATGCCATTCGAAAGATTTTTGCTCTTTTAAATGGTCTGTCCCTGCCATTTTTACATCCGAAAAGTGGCATTACTAGGTAAGTGGATAGATGCTCTCAAGCTCCCTGTAAAGAGGTTGTGCCTGTCCTACGTCCTCAGTGGTGAATGAACAGGCTAGGAAAAATTAACTTTTACTCTCCCTTTCTCCCTTTCTTTTATGATGAAATGCTTAGTATGTGCTAACAGCTTCAGTAAGGTTCTAGCACTGAAATTATTTACATATTACTCCACTTTTATAAACCATATTTCCAGTCAGTATCATTGTCAGTAGTATACTGGTACAGTATCTTTAGGAGAAAGGTTTTTACTATATAGTCTGGATCACTATGATGATCAGGCTGTTTCCAAACTCATAGAGATGTCTTTGCTTCTGATATCGTACAGGCTTTCCTGACTTTTGATGAATCTAAGCGCCCTTCAATGTTTATTGGCCATACTTTCCTGTGAATTTATATCATGAAATGTTTTCGTAGCTTTTACTAAACTGTCTCTAAGTGGTTGATCCCCTTCACTTGATGTGTCATGGCTCCACATACAGTAATAGTATTTGTGTCAATATGGCACAAATGAGAGTCACCAGGGAACAGGAACCCTCACTGTAATCTATAAGACTTTTTATAGGTGAATGATTGATGCTGGGAAGCTCAGCCCACTGGATGGTGCCACTTCTAGGCAGGTGGCCCTGGTCTGTATAAGAAAGCAGGCTGAGCGGGCTGGAGAGATGCCGCAGAGGTTAAGAGCACTGGCTGTTCTTCTAGAGTCCCAGCAACCACCTGGTGCCTCACAACCATTCATACTGAGGTCTGGTGCCCTCTTTTTGCCTACGGGCATACATACAGGCAATACATTGTATACTCAGTAGTCTTTTTTAAAAAAAAAGAAAGCAGGCTGAACAATACCATGAAGAGCAGTGAGTTGCAAACAATAATACTCTGTGGCCTCAGCTTCAGTTCTTGCCTCCAGGTTCTGGCCCTGAATACCTGCCCTGACTTCCTTTATAGTGTGATAGATTTTTTTTTTTTTTTTTAGCTTAAAAATTAAAGATAAATACGCCTTTTCCTTCTCAAGGTGGTTTTAGTCAGTGTTGCCATGGCAATAGAAACCTAACTAGGACAGAAATAGTCTTGGCTTTTGATGTGGGGAGAAAGATGAGTCAGGTCTCATGTAGTCCAGGTTGGTGTTGATTCACTGTGAAGCTGAGATGGTTTTAAACCCTGGATCCTTAGCCTCCATCTCCCAAGTGTTAGGATTACAGGCATGTACCATCGTGCCTAGCTACAGTATGTGTTTATATGGCTAATTCTTTCTAGCACAGTTTTATTTTGGATTCATGTATGTTATTGTACTAGTGGTTCATTCATGTTTATTATTAAATAATTTTTCTGTGCCTTCTCTTCATGCTTTGACTTCATAGATATAGAAATAGCTCCTTAATAGCAGAAGTGAAGGTCTCTTCTCTGAAGTGTTGTGTTTTATTAGAAGCTCATGTAATTTGTAAACCTGTCTGTTTATAATTATCTTGTTTAGTTTGTGGGAGAGAATGAAGTTTATCTATGTTTTGCTTACTGTGTGTGCCAGGACTTCGCTTTCAGAGAGCCTCTGAAAGGAGCGAGGCCACACACAGTGGGTTCCAGTATAGACCTACTGTCTTAGGACTGTTTGTCTGAACCACTGTGCCATCCTGCCTCACCAGTCATTGCCCACCCTGTGTGTCAGTAAGTCTTACCGTACATAATTCTTAATTCAAAGTGATGGATGATAACTGTAGAACAAAGCAAACCTTTATAACTTCACATCAGAACAATTGTTCTAACATTGATCATTCACAGCCCGTTTTGTGCACTAAAAATTTTTCTTACATTAATAGGTAGAAAGAAACATTTGCCATGAATGCAGTCCCTTTTTAGCTTTGTGTTCTTGACAAGGGAAACTTGGTAGTCTTGTCTGTCAGGGATAGGAGACTGCCTCGTGCTGGGATTAAAGGCGTGCACCACCACCACCACCCAGCGAGTTTGTTACTTTTAAAATGGGAATTGTTACATTCTGCATTTCTCTGAATTCTTTCACATGTGTATGCTGTGGCTGCATGACAGAAACATTTTTCACTGTTTTGTGGGGGGGGGCAGCTGGTGACTTTTGTCTTTTTGTGCTTCACAGGAACCAGCACCCATGACTGAAGATCTGCTGGAAGAGCAGTCTGAGGTCTTAGCTAAATTAGGGACGTCTGCTGAGGGGGCACACCTCCGTGCACGGATGCAGAGTGCCTGTCTGCTTTCCGATATGGAGTCTTTTAAGGTGGGTCAAACCGTCAGGCCTCTGGGTCTATTTTCAGCTTTTCTGGGGTGAAACTGTGAAAACACTATGAAGGCTGTGCCTTTTTTTTACGTGTTTGGATTCATTACTTGTTACAAAACGCTACCTCAGCTCCCACGGGATATATCAGACTCAGTTCTTAGGTTTAAAAAAAGAAAATCAATCTGCTTTCCAAAGTTGAGAAATGAAGAGATTTCTCTCTGTGTTAGGGATGTTTTTTCCCTTTGTGTGTGCTCAACCATTTAAGGCTTTTAGGAAACTCTTGGGATTTAATGTGGATTATTTTACTCAACAAACATTTGTGTGCCATACACACTGAGTAAGTAGGAGATACAGTGTTTAGTCCACATCTGCCTTCTGCAGGATGGCCTGAGTTTGAGTTCTTTCTGGAAAACTGTGTTTTCTTCTTAAACGTAAGTGCCGTATGACTACCTTTCCACTTTCTTCCCTGCCTGCTAGGAGGTAAGTGGTGATAAATGGGGGCCCATGAGATCTTTGAAATATAAAATAACAGGAGTGTGTGACTTGTATCCTGCTGTACAGTCTTAAAGATAGTTGACACGGTGGGTAAGAGAAGCCAGTTGCTCTGAGTAAAACTAAAATAAGGGAGTCATCTGGTGTGGATGAGTACAGCAAGAAATGCGAACCTCCTCTGCAGTTTTCCCGCTGACCTCTAGCTGCCTTCCTACTGTCGTGTCTGTGCAGAGGTGTGAACAGGAAGATAAAACTACAAACCAGACCTGTGCACTTCTTTTAGCATTGTGCATGGGCACAACTGCTGCTCTTAATGTGCTTTTTTGGATTCAGCTGGGTGCCTACAAATCTGTAATAGCATTGTTTTAACCAGAAGATAGAGGCATCTGTGTAAGGTGGCCCTTAGAAACACAGCTGTGTGGGACAGATGCTTTTAAAATACTATTAGAGCTTCCCCTTGTGATACATCCTTTAACAATAAAAAGATAACCTGTGGCTGAGGTGTCTGTCCAGCCTGGTGTGTTACTACTAAGAACTTAGGGGAGGGGAGGGCTGTAATGTAGGAATTGTATTGTTTTCTATTAAGCTTACTTTCTGTACTAGCCAGGGTTCATGGATAGCCACCACCCTGTCTTACTCAGATGGGTGTGCTGCCTGGGTAGGGTCCAGACCTCTGTGCATAAATCCCTAGTCATTATCAGGGACCACGGCACAGCCTTACAAGAATGGATTCCACAATCAGTGGAGAACTTCCTTCTGGTTCCTTAGTTGAGCGATGGTCAGGCTAGAGTTTAGCCATTACATTTGAAACACTATTCTTGCCAACAGTCCTTACCGTGCCCAACCTTAGTACTCTGCCAGTAACACTGGACACTTGAAAGATGTCACACCACAAACATTGTGAGGCTCTTTATCTTCTAGGCTTGAAGGAAGAGCTGCTGGAAAGATTTCAACATAAATCATTGTTAATTCTAGGTGCTTGTGCAGTGATTGGAACTTATTGTTCTAAAAGCAAATAAACTAAGTTGTAATGGGGTTTCAGTTCCTTAACAGAATGGAAGTTTAGGTGCTGGTGTTTTTACCTGAAGCCTTAGAGTTTGGTTGCTGAGTGGTGTGTGAGGCTAGCTGGTATTTATTGCAGGGCTGATACTGACTAACCAAGGAGAAAAACAGTTTCTGTCACTGTTATTCTGGGTGTGCTGTGCATTATTTAATTTATTGCACTTCAGTTTATCTATACTACAAAGCTTGTACAAAATAATCACATGAAAAATTGTCCCTGTAAAAACAGGAAAAAAAATGCTTTTGGTATTTTAACATCTCCCATTTTAAATGTGCTGTTAAACTTGAAGTGTGAATATGGTTTTGTAAATAGGCATGTCAGTAAAAAAAAAAAAAAAAATTTTTTTTTAACTTTCTTTTGCTGGATTTTTGCCTTAGGCAGCTAATCCAGGCTGTCTCCTGGAAGATTTTGTGAGGTGGTACTCACCACGGGACTACATTGAAGAGGAGGTGACTGATGAGAAGGGCAATGTGGTTCTGAAGGGAGAGCTGAGTGCCCGCATGAAGATCCCCAGCAACATGTGGGTGGAGGCTTGGGAAACTGCTAAGCCCATTCCAGCAAGACGCCAGAGGAGACTGTTTGATGACACCCGAGAGGCTGAAAAGGTAATAGGAAACTATTACTAAACCTTAGACACGAGAGTCTGTACAGACTGAACAAGCAAAACATTGGAATTCAGTAAGATTTGTTAATACCACATGTAAGATGGTAGAGCTAGTTGTAAAGGTTTATATAGGACTCTTGCATTTGCGTCATACTGTCTCATACTTTATATTGGAAGTGTTAAGCATGACTTAAGATTCCACCAAAATTACTAGGGGCTATTGAGAGACACAGGGATCTGAGTACGTGAATGTTGTTCAGAGTCTTTAGTTGAAAAGGGAGAAACAACCAGACTTCATATGTATAAAAAATGCTTTCATGCACGCTGTGGTGGCGAACGCCTTTAATCCCAGCACTTGGGAGGCAGAGGCAGGTGGATCTCTGAATCCGAGTGAGTTCCAGGACAGCCAGGGAATAGTGGCTCTCTCTGGTTCCTAATTCCTGATTGCCCCTTACATCATCCCCATGACTAAATTTAACAGGAAGTAGGGACAAGAATCCTGAAAGTCACGAGACAGGAGTTGCCTCACAGAGCACTAACAGTGGAGCCTTGGCAAGAACCCATCTTTACTGTTATAGAACAACATTTCAGGACCCCAGAGGCCAGGGCTGTTCCATATGGTATGGTCTTGTTAGTTACCAGAACATCAGAGGGCAAGGTTCTTACACATCTGTATGAGGTTTTGACATGATACTTGGTAATAACAATAGCCAACTGTGTTACTGGGATGTGTTTACTGTAATTAACTATAAGCTATGTTATCCTGTCAGCAATCTCAGATGTCACTTGTTCACCTCATCTTTTGGTTGATCAAGAGGCTGGGCTGTGGTGACGGACAGACACATCCTTAGTAGTAGTTTGTCCTAAGTAGTCTTTCATGTTCATACACAGTTGTTGAGGTACCTCGGTAGCTGTCTTGAGAAAGGTCGCAGGACATTCAGAGTCATGAAGCAGAGGGGGGTGAATGTCAGTGCCCAGATCACAAGTCCAGGCTCATACCCCAGTCAGTCAGTTGAGATAGACAGTCCCTCACAGATAAGCCAAGAGGTTTGTCTAAGTGACCACCAGTAATCACTATTACAGTCTCTACGCCAAACATAAGTCTATCGTCATTAAATGATGAGAAATTCCATGTTTGAATAGACAAAGTAAACAAGTTCTGAGTGATACCTCTGTTTAGTGTTGAAGCCCATGAACTTCTTCATAACTCCACTGGGAGATGATGTATTTACTGCTGTTGACTAAAGGGAGGATCCATACATGTCTCCGTATGTTTACAAAAAAATAATAGAGTTTCTATTTTAAAAAGTAACAGGCAGAGTGTGGAGGGCTGAGAAAATCAAGTTACAAAACACACTTAGTATTAGTGGCTATAACTAACGCCCTAAAAAAAAAAAAAAAGAAATCACTCTGCTGTTAACGGTCATGTTGTATTGTGACCTACAAATCATCCTTATTCTCTTTGTGTGTTCCTAATTTGCATGTATAACAAAGTCACGGGAATTTTTATGAAAGTAGTTATTACAGTTCCCAAGTGCAGTGGCACACCCTCGTCTCTGCCGGGGAAGAGGCTTCTGTGCCCAGGGATACCACCTGCAGGTTTCTGTGTTCTGTGTCCCCAGGTGCTGCATTACCTGGCGATGCAGAAACCTGCAGATCTAGCTCGACACTTGCTGCCTTGTGTGATTCACGCAGCCGTTCTCAAGGTAAAGGACGAAGGTAAATGTCTCCATTGATGGTCCCTAAGTGAATTTCCAAAGAAGTGTTTTGGTTTTGTTGTTAACTGTTTCTTTGATCTTTTCATAAATAGAAATTCTAGAAAACATTCCTTCGGTAAAGAAGATTATAAAGCAGATTATAGCCCATTCCAGCAAAGTTCTGCACTTCCCCAATGCCGAAGACAAGAAGTTGGAAGTAAGTATCCTGTCAGAGTCTTCCCCCGAGTTCCCCCCACCTGGCAATAGTGACTTTAAGTTTTCTTTTTATATTTATTTATGGTGGTGAAAATGGTGTGCTTGCATGGAGGGCAGAGGTCAGAGGAAGGAAGGCGTTGGGTTCCCTTAACTGAGGATGTTAGGTGTGGTGGTGAGTGCCTTCCCTCCGGAACCATTTTCTTAGCTCCTAAAGAGGTTTCAGAGCTTTGTACCTCTCTAATCCTCAGGGCTCATGCCTCCCTTTCTACCGTAGGAAATCATCCTTCAGATTACTAATGTGGAAGCTATCATAGCCCGAGCCCGCTCCCTCAAGGCCAAATTTGGAACTGAGAAATGTGAGCAAGAGGACGAAAAGGAAGATCTTGAAAGGTACTGTTACTTGTGTACCTCAGTTGGTCTGCAGAGGACAAGCTGCTAGTCTCACAGAGGTTCTGCGGTGTGATGGCATAGTGGCTCCTGGCTGTAATCGCAGTACTTGTGAGGCTGAAGCAGGCGGTTTACTTTGAATTTAAAGCCAGCCTGGGGAGACTTAGTAAGTTGTCCCAGGTTAGCCGGGACTATTGATGCAAACCCAGAAATGAAACAACACAATGGTAAGGTTCTGCCCCTGCCCCTCTGACTAGAGACAGAGGAATAATACTCTTAGGAGCAGGCGTTTCTGTCATTCACATCATGGGTGGGTTTAGGACAGTTGACAATGAGATCCACTGTCAATGAGCTCGAGCTGCCTCAAGAGCATCACCCTTCCCTTCTTCTTCCTCTAGGTTTGTCAGCTGCCTGCTGGAGCACCCTGAAGTGTCCGTCACTGGGGCTGGAAGAGGACATGCAGGCCGGGTCATCCACAAGCTGTTTGTGAATGCTCAGCGGGTGAGTTTTTCTTTCCTGCGCCGGTCTCACACCAGCTGACAGCACAAACGCCAGGGTTTCTAAGGCTTTAAGATCCACTGAGTTAAGTAAAATGATAAGAATATTTCAGACCTTTTCAGACCTGAACTTTGGAAAACTTTGGAAATTAGTAGGATCACACCCATTGTTCTGGTGGAGACTTAGTTAACAGAGTTTCTAACTAGTCTGTGGTAGAGACCAAAAGGGTTTCAGACTATAAGGACTGAAACAGGTTTCAGCACAGAAGGAAAAACCCAGTTTGAAAAATTATTCCCTCCACTCAGGAAAGAAGGAAGCTAAGTTATATAGCTCCTCCACTACTGATTAAGGGGTATATTTGGTCATACATTGAATGCACATTAAGTAAGTACATGCACACATACAGGTACCCACAGGTGACTTATCAGGGATCCGGGTGAAAGTATTATGGTGGGCACTAAATATAATTTTCACTGACCTGGGACATGTTGACACTAGAAACAAGAACGCCAGCTCAGCTTCGTTCTCTTACCAAGTAGAATTTTCTTTGATGTTTCTTAGGGTTACTGTTGCTGTGATTATAAACACCATGCATGACCAAAAGCAAGAACTCAAGCAGGGCAGCAGGGTCATGGAGGCAGGAGCAGAGGCCATGGAGGGGCACTGCTTACTGGCCTGCTCAGCCTGCTTTCTTATAGAACCCAGGACCGCCTGCCCAAGGCACCATCCACAGTGGGTGGGCCTCCCCACATCAAGTCATTAGAAAAACAGCACAGGGTTGTCTACAGCTGGATGTTACGGAGGCTCCTTCTCTGATGACTCTAGCCTGTGTCAAGTTGACATAAAACTAGCCAGCACCCGGCTAACAGTTGCATAGTTCTTTTGATTTGCTGGTAAATTAGATTTCTAGCAGGCAGTAATGCTCTCCTTGCTTCCCTTCCTGGCCTGGCTATGCATCTCCACCAGCCGATCACTTAACACCCAGAGGTGGCCCGGCTGTTCCTCACCAGGGAAGACTCAGCTCTAAGACCAGAAGTGTCTAGATAGTTAGTGTTGACTGTGTTGCTTGTCTGGGGTAATTAGAATTATTCCCCTAAACTGTAATAGTCTCCTTAACTAAATAGAGGCTAGAAAAGCAAAAGTTAGTCATACATTCACTCCTGCCAGCATTTACTATCTCACAGACCAGTAAGTGTTGCTGTTCATTATATCTCAGAGGAGGATACTGTCTTTCCAGGCCTTCCTCCACATGGACCTAAAGTTACAAATTCTCCAGGGTCCATGTCTGGAAGTGAGTGCTTTCGGGTTACGAGCACATGGCTGCTTTTTAACTCTGCCCCAGTGGTCTGGCTGCAGTAAACTGTTGAGTTTTAGTCATGTAACTTTCAAGATGAGCAGATACTTTGTCCCAATTTTACTAAGGAATGAAGATTTAACTATATTTTAGACAGCTAAATTTTTATAGCACACATTAACTTACATATTAGAACTATTTTTTAAAATTGGCTTAGTAGGTAAGCCTGCCAAGTCTGATTACTTTAGTTCAATCCCCAGAACCTCCGTGGTGGAAGAACAGAACCTTCCTGAAAGTTGTCCTCTGACCGCCAAAACCAACTGTAAAATATTAAATTTTGAGCGGTTATAAAGTTGACTGACTATATAGGTTTGGGTCTGTACATAATTAAATGGAATTCAGCAGAATGACCAACTCTTCTCCAGTCTTGCTAAGGTGAACTTTTCCTGGACACCAGCTCTTAAATTCATGGTTTAGCTGTCAAGTCCCTTTTAAAACATCTTCAGGAAGAGTGAGGGTTTTCAGTCATTTCCTCATTAAATTACCCTGCACATCACCTGTTGGGCCATCAGATGCATGGGCCTGAGGCGCTGGCCACACCAGTAGTCCTTGTGGTGTGCTTTTGTGCACCTCCAGTGGCCATGCCCCACACAGTGCATGCTGTTCTGAAGTGGCCTTAAGTCTGCCCAGCCCTTTAACCGCCTTACTCGTCCCTTTCATCTGTTTCTTTTCTCACTTCCTCAAGCTGACTGAGTCTTCTGATGAGGTAACACAATGGCCTTTGTCCCTCATAGTTCCTTGTCTGTCCCCATCCCTCTAACGTCATGAGGTCATCTTAACTAACCGGCTGGATTTGGCATCCCCTCTGGCTGTACAGCTTACAGTGACTTCATGTTTCCATTGCCCAAAGAATTTCCCCGAGCAATGGCCTCATGAAAGGAGAGAGTATTGAGTTATGAAGGCCGTGAAGGCTGCACTTGGTTCGGTTGGATAGAAAAGTAGATGCCTTCAACTTTGTTCAGCCTTGAATACTTTTCCTTTGTGGCCATTGCCATGGGCATCTGTCAGCTCACTGTCACGTTAGCTGCCCAGCAAACAAAGCCAGTGTTTCTGGTTCTTATTTGGCAAGAGAATCTGAAAAGAACTTGAGAGAGTAGAGACTTTTTTTTAAAAAAAATCACCTTCCTAGACTTGAGTGTGAGTCTGGCCTGTTGGCATCTGACTGAGACTCGAGTTACACTGCCTGAAGAAAGGAGACGCCAGGGTGGCCCTGCCATTAATGAGGCCACGATGCCCTCGCTTCCCAGCAGAGTGCCTGCCACCTGCCTCTGCCTGCCTTGCTAGTGCTCAAGCTCCTTCAGCTTCCCGCTCTTCCGTTTCTGTTCTTTGAGCAATCATAGCACACAGTGGACACACTGCATTGCCAAGTGATGCGGGACAGTGTGTGTCCACTGTTTATCCTTCCCCCCTTCAGTAGCTTAGCTTTCAGCTCGCTCTTGAGTTTGGCCTTTGGTTCTGTTCAAGGCTGCTGCAGTGGCCCTACCAGAGGAGGAGCTGAAGAGGTCGGGCTACCCAGAGGAGAGGAGACAGAGCTCGGCATCCGACTTCCCGCCTCCTGTAGGTCGGGAGCTCATCCTGAGGGCCACTGTGCCTCGGCCTGCGCCCTACTCGAAAGCCCTGCCACAGCGCATGTACAGTGTGCTCACCAAGGAGGACTTCAGACTTGCAGGGGCCTTTTCCTCAGACACCTCCTTCTTCTAGTGGGACGGGGAAGAGAAGAGGCATCTCCTGCCATGGACACCTGAGGGCTACCAAGAGGACCTCATCCAGCCAGCAGCAGGAGTCACACCAGCACCCAACTTGAGCCAGAGGGACAGAGAGGAGATATCAGAGACCTAGGGAGATGGCCTGTGTGGAGGAAACCACACATCAGTGGGCCTCCTCTCACCTTGGGGACAGTCATCTGTGTAAACACTTAGTGGTTGTTCTTAGTATCACGGATGCAAAATTGAGTGTCTGCTAACTCAGGTTCTGGAGTGCCAAGGTAGTGATTAGTCCCAGAATCTGTTCGTAACCTGCCATGTGACATTCTATCTATTCAGCCACCCGATGGTCAGCTTTATTATGCTATTTGATGAATATTTGAATATTCTAAGAGAAACACTAGAATGCACTTTTGTTTTTCCGTGTCACTGTAACCAAATGTATTCCCTCTGGTCAATCTGTAGACATGTGGCTTATTTGGCTGTGTGCATCTATCTGTCTTGTAGGGTCCTTGTCCTCTCCATTGCACCCTGCCTTTGCACTTTACTCCTGTGTTGCTGCTGGCTGTTGACGGTATTTAATGAACTCATATGAGCATATACTAATCACAGCCTGGGAACATAGGTCATCGGGCAGTTAGTGGGCCATGGTATGTGCTGATGCGAGTGGGCAGAACCTGGTGGCTGCTCGGCTCCTGAGCTGTGAGAGACTGGGGCTGTAGCAGCCAGTACAGGGGTGATGGCATTGTGTGGCTCAGGATGCATTAAGTGCGTCACTGCAGGCCCTCGGGTTGGGACTCAAAATTCCCATTTGAATCCAAAGTAAAAAAAAAAATGGTTATGCTAAAATGTAAATTCTGCCTGTGTGATTTTTAAAAATGGATAGAACTGCACAAACCCCGTTATTTTTGTAAAACAAATCTGTCTACACTTGTCTGTATAGTGTGTGCAGACACGGCTGTGTGTGAATAGGGGGCTCAGTGCTGACCCCTGGGCCGCACAGCTTTTCTCCGAGCTGCTGGACTTTGCTTCTGAGAAACCTGTAGACACTGGCGGAGGCCTGAGTGTCAGACCAAGTAGGAGATGGTCCCTGCAGGACAGCTCTACAGTGTGGAGGCCAGCCTAAAATGGGAGGGTTAGCTAATAAAAAGGACTGGTGTCTATATGGCTGCTCTTGTCTCTCTCCCCAAGGACACTACTGTCACTTCGCTTAGTTCCCACTGCCTCTAGAGTTTTCTTCATGCCTTTTGAAGTGTGGTTATCCATTCTCTTCCTTTGGCCTTATTGCTGTTCATTTTGAACATTAGAAAATGTATGCGCACTATACTAAGGAATGACATGTAGGCAAATGCTACAGTGTGAACAAACCTACAGCGTGTAATGTACCCTTTTCTGAAGGGGGGAGACTGAGTGAAGGTTACCCGAGCAGTCAGTCCAGTGGTGAGTCCACAACAGAGAAGCACAGTCAACCGAAGTGTGGCTAGAGACCCTGCATGCATCTCACGAGCAGAGGCTAAGAAGTGAAGGTCGTGGTTGTAGAGTGGGGAGAGGCTCTTTCAGGCTCAGGACTGAGACCTCCTGAGAAACACTACCTGAGATTGTCCTGTGTGACAGACACAGACTTGAATCCCAGCACTCACATGGTGGCTAACAACCATCCCTAGTGCAGTCCCAGGGATCTGACACTCTTCTGACCTCTGCGGGCATCAGACACACGTGTGTACACATATGCAGGCACACACACACAATAAAACCACATGTGTGGAGCAGGTAATGTGTCAAAGTGTCCTGTAGGGTAGTTCGTTACAGCAAAGACAAGTTGTAAATAGTAAGCACTGGAGTTCACCTGTGGCCTGTCTGCCTGCTTGCCTGCCAGAGCCTGTCCCCAGCACCAGAAAAGAAAAAGCAAATGGATCAATGGCGAGGTCTAGTAGGAACAATGGCAGACGCGGGAGCCAACCAAGCACCCAGTGTCTGTAAATGCGGCTGGCCAGATGCTCACCTCCGCATCTCTACCCGTGTACTGGGCTCTAAGCAGCACAGGGCTCGTTTGTGGTGGCAGAGGTCTCAGTCCATCATGACAAGCAGGGTAAGGCACAAGTTCACACAGCTGCCAGGGTCAGAGGGAAGGAAAGGGGCAGGGGACAGATGACAGGGAGGGAACAAGAATGCTTGCTTACATGTTTCCTTTAACTCCTTGGGCCCCTGGTCTGTGGAATGGTGCCCCCCCCCCATTCAGATTCTTGTCCTGTTAGTCTTTCTGTAAAACCCCCCTAGACACCCAGGGCTGTGGGGTACCAATCTAGTCACTCCAATCATGGATAAGTTACCCAATCATCTTGAGCCCCCATAATCACCCGTGTGCCACTGTGGGGCAGGGCATGGGTCACTCTGAACAACTTTTGTTTATGGTAAGAGACAGATGGCCTCTTCCATCCACGACAAGTGACCCAGAGAACAAGTGACTGACACTGAACAAAACTCCAGGCTCCCTAGCCCCTGGGCAGTGTGACTAAGCAGTGACTAGCAGGACAATTGGTTGACATTCCTGAACTCTAATTTCGTCCCAGAGCAGGTTTGGTTTGTTTGTTTCTGTATATGAATATCTATCTGCATGTACAACTTTATGCCAGAAAAGAGACCATCAGATCCCACTATAGATGGTTGTGAGCCACCATGTGGTTGCTGGGAATTGAACTCAGGACCTCTGGAACAGCAGCCAGTGCTCTTAACCTCTGAGCCACTTCTCCAGCCCTATATTTTTAGTAGCCCACTATCACTCTCCTGCAGTATCTTGCCTATATGAGACATGGAAATATTTTTAGTGTGTCAATCTCCCGAGCATTGTCCACCCCTCCGTGTCAGTGAGGGAATCGGGTGAGGGTGGGCCTGTCTCTGGCACAGTTTCCTTGACCTAAATGCTCAAGCTGGCCTGGGGCCCACGCAATCCCAGTGGCACCACTGTCCTTTTACACAGAGCCCAGGGCTTCACTTCTGTCTCCCCTTAAAAGACACAGGGTCTTGCTTGCCAAGGCTGGCCCAGTACTCTCAGGCTCCACAGGCTGTGGAGCTGGGACAATGGGTAAGCCATCACACCCATGGACTTCACACCTTTCTTTACTCTTACTCCAGGGGAGGGCTGTAAACGGTGGCCTTTTATCCCATCCTTAAGTTAAATTCTTGTGATTCACACAGGGAAGGGTCAGCTCTACTCACTTGCAGGCACTGGACAAAGCATATGACATCTGGGACAAATGATCACTTGTCATTTGGCTAACAAAACTGGTTAGAGGCAGAGAGAAGGCTGCCCAGAGAATCTGGCTGACGCCCCACGATGGGGTGCCTGGTGTCCACAGTGGTATTTCTCCAACAGGATCCATACAAAGGCTGTTCAGATCTCAAGGCTACAGACAGCTAGAATGTTAACTATTCTGGTTCTGATCTGGAGGGGAGAACCTGCTCAGCCCACTGGGTTGCAAAGCTAAGTGTTGCCAGCAGAGGCCGCTCTGCGGGACAGCAGACACTTGTTCAGTACAGGTCAACGCCAGCACAAACCACTGGAAAGACTAAAACAGTTGCATTCCAACATCTCATCTCCTTTTCTCTTTGTGTGAGGTCCTGAAGCTGCCAGATGAAAGCATAGGCTTTACAGCATCAAAGATACAGGCATATGCAAAGATTCCTTAGGACTAGAACATCACAAAAAACCCTAACCAGATGGTGATGGTGCACACCTTTAATTCCAGCACTTGGAAGGCAGAGGCAGGCAGATCTCAAGTTCGAGGCCCACCGGGTCTACAGAGTGAGTTCCAGGACAGCCAGGGCTACATAAAGAAACTCTGTCTCAAACAAACAAAAAACCCATAACAACCAAAAACTGTGTCCTAAGAACTGACACTGAGAATTCTATACAACCAGGAAGTTTCTGTACTACAAAGCAAGCACTCAGCAGAGTGAAGAGGCCTACAGAGCCTACACCTGTTCTGTGGTGCTGGAGATGAGATCCAGGGCCTTGTATACGCTGGGCAAGCATTGTACCAGTCAAGCTAGTCCCCAGAAAAGAGGTGACAGGTTAGACACACTGGCTGGCCTTCCGGAGAAAGATTAGGGTCTACAACAGAAATTTTAAATCCCTCTTCATACCACCAAGAAAAAAACTGAATAATTCATGGGACAGGCCTGAGGAGATGCTACCTCATACACACAGGAGCCGAGAATACACGAAAGTCAGCTGACATTTAAGTGCAACAGTTTTCCATGGCTGGCACAACTCTTGAAATGATCTTGTATTGCCTAAGATATCAACAAGCATGTACACATCCTAGAGTCTGGGCTATGATTCTAAAGCTAGGGTCCTAGACCAGCAGTCCGTATCACCTGGGTGCTTAGGAGCAATTCAGGTCATTGGGGCTGGGAGATGGCTCCCTTGATAAAAAGTTTCTGCTGCGAGAAGACAGAGTTCACCCTCCACAACTCAATAAAAAGCCAGGTGTGGCAGTCATGCTGGTGACTCTGGCAAGCAGAAGCTCACTGGCCAACCTAGCTCCACTTTCAGTGAGAAAGCCTGTCTCAAAAGCTAAAGGTGAGCTGGCAAAACATGACTTTAGGGTTTTTTGTTTGTGTTTTGAGACAGGGTTTCTCTTAACCGTCCTGGCTCTCTTGGAACTTGCTCTGCAGACCAGGCTGGCCTCAAACACTGAAATCTACCTGTCTCTGCCTCCTGGGTGCTGGGATTAAAGGTGAGCACCACCACACATGTCTTTATTCCCAGCACTCAAGAGGCAGAGGCAGGCAGACCTCTGAATTCAAGTCTAACCTGGTCTATTATATAGTAAAATTCCAGGCTAGCAAGGACTACATACTGAGACCCTCTGTTGGGAAAGAAAAAGGGGGAGAGTAATGAAGACCCCCAGCATGGACCTCTGCTCTCCACACCTGTGTGCACACACCCACACTAACAATTGCAAACACAGAGGGCAAAAGAAAAATGATCCCGAGCAGGAAGTGCTGGACTAGGGCGGCTATGTCTGGGTAAGCCCTCTGAAATGTCCCCTAGTCTGAGAGCTTCTTTGTTACTTTGTTACAGATCTTTCTATGTGTGTGTGTGTGGGGGGGGGGGTCAGGACAGTTCAGACACAGTACACAGAATGCAT